GTCCTGGAGTACTTTGATCTCGTGACGTATTTCAAGATCATCGATAGCATAATATGAGATGATAGATGTGATATGATGGGTAGATGGGAGCGAGTCTATTTTCGGTCGTTAGATAGATATGACTTATGTAAAACAAATGTACATAGGTACATGAAAACGGATATGGATGGATGGATTTGCGCGCGAATCTGGCGTGATAAACGGGTAAGGCGTGCCGTTTCTTAAGCTGTGCAAGCATGAACCTTTTTAATGAGAAAACAGGTGGAATGAAGTGAGGTTAGGATGAAACGAATGGAATGGATGAAAATGGATGAAAATGGATGAATGGATAGAATTGGTTCAGATAGCGTTTACATTTCGAGTGTAGGATTTGTGATAGCGGCTGTGTTGATCCTGGTATATGTTGTGTTCAACAGTTCTTCTCTACACGATGGTGTGTTACCTAGGTACAATGTACATCAGCTATGTATCTACGGGAATAGCATCATGAATACGTGAAGAGTTGTTAATGAAGGAGGGAACCCCAAGTCCAAAGGAGAGATCTCAAACAGTTACATTACATTTAGATGTAACTCCCAAGCAATCTGATTTAGTTTTCTGGCCTCATTTTATTTTTCATCCCTCGCTAGCCCTCTCGCGCCTGTTTCTCGTGTCTGCACGCTGAGGCTCATGCTAATGTATGCTATGCTATGCTACACGCATCGCATCGTATCGTATCGTAAGAACGTTACCGACAGTCTGGATCAAACTTGAGCATGGCTTGGCTTGGCTTGCTCACTGGCGAAAGAAAGGGAGGGATTACAAATAAGATACATACTTTTAGAATGCTGACATACATGCGTTTGCATTATGATAGACTCGGGGGCCAGGGGAGCGGAAGATTGTGCCGGTCATTAACTTGATGGGGGCGCTGCTCTGCTCTGTTTTGTGTTGTGTCGTAACCCTATGCCTATTGGGTCGGTGTATTATTGTCTGATGTGTGTGCTTACCACGCCGGGCACTGATGTGCATTGAGATGAGACCTATGAATCGGACTCCGAGATGGAGATGGAGATGGAGATGAAGCGGACCAACATTTGGTGAGTGGTCTTGTGATTTGGCCATTGTTGGTCGCTTTGTGCAATGGTAGGTAAGCCGAGAATGGACCCCGTTGATCAGTGTAGCATCATGACAGTACTCCGTACGCGGCGGACGGTGCTGTGGGGATATGGGATGAAAAAAATCATGAAGTTGGTGATGTGATGAATAAAATGACTGGCTGTCAAGCACTACGGTTACGAGACATCATATTCGGCCAGGCTTCAGCCCCCTTTCCCATTGCCGGATGGAACCTGAGTCTGAGGAGCCTTGAAGAAATACAAGCTTTTTGATTTATGCCCCCACACCTACCTTTTTGATCCTTCTCGTTTGATGGTATTCATATCGCAGATGATACATAACAGTTGGACCAACAGTCGTAGTCGTAATTATATTGTGTGCGGCCCATGGAGACTAAATGGCCCCTTCCGCAAATCTGTAGGCGATGAAATAAGCTCATAGTTGTAATCCATGTCAGAACAGGGGATCCGTCCGTCTTTTTTAAAATCCCACTAAGCTTACGAATCCATGACCCTCATCATTTATCCTTGTTACCAAGGTTAATCGTGAGAAAATGACCTAAAAGGAGATGGAGGTGGATAGAAAATCGTAGGATTGATGGGAGAGTGAGTGCTGGTACTGGAGTAGATGTTTGACGATGATGTGATACAACGTTGATAAAGTTAATTCTTCGCACTTTGATATACTTTCTACGACGACGAATAATCGTAGCATTCTTATATCCTTCGCATCCGCGCGTATATTACTCAACATCCTGAACAGACGAGATGATATCAGAACAAAGTTTAGTGTCCTCGGCGGTCTGTACTAGAAGCTCATTAAGTTTCTTAGAAGGCGAGTTTATTTCGAATAAACATTAGCTACTCCGTAAAGAGGGTTACGAATGTCTTTAAACCCTATTGAGATTAATGTCCGAATAGTTAAAGCTTTATTGCTTGTTTGTAACAAGGAACAGGGACAAGTTAAAGTAGCAAAGCTTGAAGCAGATCGATCTCCACACACGTTTTTTTTCTCGCCCACGAGTCTGCTTGTGGAAAGTACCAAGCATCAATCAAACATTTAGAACATTTTAGCTGTCAAGCCAAGAAATTCTATTCGCACTTCCAAGATGGTAGAGGAAGTCAAATGAGAGAAGGTTCTTTTTCTGCCGTAACTTGTATGGGAAGATCATAATGCATGCATTCATTTTGTGAATTTTATTTGAGTAGATGGTATTTATCTCATTTAACCGTGGAGCCATTCGAACAAATGAAGGGGGAGTCTCGGAGGATGAATTTCGGAATCGGCAGTTGCTCGCACTCGATATAGACACGTTTTCCTATTTCTAGATGTGACTTATATTACTTTAGCCAGGGCCTACTTGATCATCCAACAAGAACTTCATTTTCAATTTACGAGTACTGAGTAGGAATTGAGTAGGCATTATCGAGTATCGAATATCTATCTACGAGGCTAGGTGTCTTTTTCTGTTGCTTTACTTGGTATTGCCAAGATTCAGCCAACAGGAAGACCAAGGCATTTTAATACGAGCAAGAGAAAATAGAAAGTTCCTACAAAACAAAACGCAACCATGAGGTACCAACAAGCTTTGGATACATACCCGAAAACCATAAACAGGAAAAGTGCCTGAAAGGGAATAACGCTGAAGATGGTATTGATCTATGCCGAAAGCAGTATTATATTCTCTTCAGCACTACCCATATAGTCAGTATCTAGGCATCCTGGGAATGCAAAAGTGCGTGTGTCCATCAATTATCATGCTCGTAACGCAATATTGCTGTATATAGTTTAGACTGGACATTCCAAATGGACGTTTGAGCTTCCAACACCCAATTCAGTATCTACTATCTAGACAAGGCTTCATTGCCAAAACTTAATCTTAGATTTCACCAACCAACCAGCGAACCTTCTTTTATACTTATAAAGTCTGCTGGAAATCTAGTTGTTAGCATTGTTTGTCATTATTAGGTACATGCTCTCATATCTATCTAGCCAGCATTTCATCTTTCTCCAGAAGGAAGCCCACCCGACGGCTCCATATCATATTCAATCGAGCATTAGCACTCTTGTCTTTTCCGCATCCCATCACTCATCTGATCTCCTTGGACGACAAGACTATATGACTAGGCTATGACTACTCTATTTCAGTCGGACTTGTCTTTAATTCCGAACTTTTTTTGAGGCTGACGCTTGATCATCAAACTTAATTTTGACAATTAGATCATAACATAAAGTCCTTGAAGATCCAAACCCTTGAACCCTCCTCCCTTCTCCACCTCGACAAACGGCCTAGGACTTTATGCCAGTGTACTCGTGCCTTTTGGAAGCGCGGCACTTTTGACTAACAAAACCAAGAGACTGGTACGGGACCGAATGAAAGATAGAAAGAAAAGCTTGTCTCTTGTTTTTCTTTCCTGACTTTCATCTTCAATACTAAGTCTTAGCATTATCCTCCTAAATCAGTACGATTCATCGAAGAAAGGTGGAATTTCTCCAGATCGATACTTTCTATATAACACTAGTTGTCCTCGACTAGCCATATCAGCTTTCAATACAGCGCCTTTAAACGAAACTATTCTCTTAGTCGATACTACAAACGACATATAAGTCCAGCTATCCTCATTCACCACAGAGAAATCTACACGCCACCCTCAATTACTAGGTATGTACAATATTGTCTTTTCAAACATCTCATACATCTACTACATCTACATCTACATCTCATACATCTACATCTCCTTCATCACTCATATTATCTCCCATTTCGAAAACAAAAGGGAAAGTTCCGGATGGAGGAATATATTGTATGCAGGTAGTGTACCTAGGTACTTTAACTGTTGTGTACCTTCACTTCTTTCACCCTTCACCAAACAAATTATTCACATTCACCCATTTATTTCTTATTTTTTTCTCCAGCCCATTTCTCCCACAATTCGCCAAAGACAACCACAATCCACCAGTGCGTCATAGGCATCAAAATCGAGAACAAACCAAACCTTCACAAATTCATTACACAAATTCATTCCAACACCCAACACAAAATATTTGAACTCCTTCACAAATGATTTTATCTTCCACAACATCTTCTTTCCTTTAAAAAAAACTTGAAAGGAAAGACATATAATCTCATATATTCAAACACGGATATTAATGCCCAAGAAATGGATAATCATGTCCACTTTCAAATCTTTCAAAGTCCACTCACTCATTCAATTCCACTCATTCAATCATCTTTTCTCCTTCTGCTGCCATTTCATTCTATTTTCGTCTTCTACCGTTTTAGCATCAGAATTGATCTTGGGAGAACCAAAAAAAGATCAAGCTCAAGCACGAGCGGATTTGGATTCTACAATTGGAAGTCTTCTCCACAAGTTTACAAGTCAAAAATAATCAATTTTTTTACCTTTGAGCAAGAATACGCGCACATTCTGTGAAGCTTTAGTTTAAGCTTCTGTCACCTTGTGCTTCACCTTGTCTCATCTTCGCCTTGACTTCCGTCTTGTATTTCTTTCCAAGTAGGACAAAAGATTCGAATATTTGGCTAACAATTTATCTGAAGCGAAAAGAAGATCTTTCATCATAGGTCTTACTATCAAAAATCTCGACAATACCTGCACTTTCTTCAACAACCACCAAAGATTTATTTACCTTTCGCCTCATTCGCGTCAAAAGGTCAAATTCAATATTCACTTCGATTTCTAAAACATCAAAAACGTTGATGTGCCAATTCCCGCCCGCAGAAGTTTCCATTTCTGACTTCCGAGAATTTGCCAAGAAATACAGCCGCGTAACTTCACCAAGGATAGAAACACGAGAGGAGAAGTGAACAACATAAAGTGTGAGAGGCGACATTCGCATTGATTTGGATTACTACTACTAGGAGTTCATCTTTCATATCTTGCCTCGCGCAATACAACTTCAATCGAAACTCTTCACCCACATTTCATAATGGATACCTATCACGGTCACGTACGCACTCCTGCAGATGCGATTAAATTATTCGAAGCTTGTCGACTTGGTCTATTACCTCGAGTACAAAGAAGATTGTCGGAGAAGGAAAGACAATCAATAAAATCTGGATCAGTATTTGTGTGGGATGAAAGGGAAGCAGGAATGCGAAGATGGACTGATGGGAAATCATGGAGCGCAAGCAGAGTATCCGGCAGCTTTTTAACATATCGTGAGATGGAGGGAAAGAGAGGAGGAGGTCAATTCGTACCACCACCAGCTCGACGAATGGCAGGAAAGACACCGGATAGTGGAAAGGGTAGTGATGAGGATCAAGATATGGATGGAGATGGACCAGATGGGTACAGATACAAACCGGATGGATTAATGAAACAATCATTCAGTATTATAACCTCCACTGGGCAACATCTCCATTTAATCAGCTACTACTCTCGACCTCATCCAAACAGTCCCGAACTTCCACAGCCTACAACTGATCCTCAACTTCGCGGAATTGTCCCGATCAAAGGAATGTACCCAGAATCGACAGTTCATGAAGCTCAAGGTCCAGCTGTCACGAGAGCTCCAATGCAACAAGGTCCCTACATGCATCAATCTCAACATAGAGTTCCATATGGATATTCCCCAGGATACGGAGCATGGCCCCCATCTCCAGTTTCCACTCCGCCATATCCTCATCATCAACAGATGTATTCATCGCAACTTCCTCCACCACCACCTGGGTCAATGCATCCTTCACCCTACCACATGCCACAAGGACCTCCACATACATCACCGTATCAACAACATCAATATAGTCCTCATCACCGCCCCGGTCATACTTCAACTACCATGGCACATGGTCCATCACAATCGACGATCTATGACCGACCTCCACCACCTCTATCAAATTCTTCCTTGCCTCCTCCACCTCCCCACAGCTACCAAAACGGTGCCCCTCAACAAATTCACCCAGGTTATCAGCCACATCAACACCAACATCCCAGTCCTCGTGCTGAACATGTAGCTAGGATGCAGGCAGAAGAACATGCGTTGATGGCACAGAAAGCTTTACAAACCGGAATGATTGATCCTAGATTGGCACAATCAGCACCACTTGCACCAGTCAATATCCATACAAATGGTACCCATAGAACAACTCCACCACCGCAACAGAAGAGTACTTCCCCAGCTCATACACCAAAGAGCCTTCATGACCAAGCAGCTACTTCTCCAAAGGGAACACCAAATGGCATGGGTAAATCTGAAGCTCAAACAATACCATCAATCTCAAGTCTTGTTCATCCATCAGACTCAACAAGTGTTCTAGCAGATAATAAATCGAACAGTAGCAATAACTCAAGAGCCGGTTCAAATAGTCCAAGACAAAGAGAATTTGGTGAAGCAAAGTCAGAAGAGGAAAAGAAAGCATCTGGTGTTACACCTGTTGCATCAGATATGCCACATGGAAATTTAAGCGCAGCACCAGCAAGTAAAGCGGAAGATCAAAGAGCGATTAGGGTATTAGATCGAAAATTCATGATCTAAGGGGAAGGGGATAGTTGGATCAAGGGTAAGGCGTGCAAAAATAGGGCAAGGAAGATTCAGGGGATTTTCGAACAATGGCGTTAGGTATTGAAGAGGAGTTTTTGCTTTACGGAATGATATCCCATACTTTCGTTCTATTTTTTGCTTGTTTATTCATCAAGGTTTTTATCAACTTCTTTGTATGTACACTTTACATTCTTAGTTTGTAGTTTGGCTTTCTTGCTGCGCAAAATGGAGAGGAGCGACTTTTTACCGTTGATAAGATTTTTTTGATTTTTTTGATTTTTTTGGGTGATTTTGTATTGATTGCATTGCGAGGGAGTTGTAGTTTATTTTTTGCTTGTTACTTCACTACTCATCTAGGGGATGGGGCACGAAAGGGGAGAAAGTAAGGGAGATGAGTGAGAGGAATCTCCTATATAGCTACATAGATACCTACCTACTATTTATATATAGAAAGAAAAGAATTGAATGGGTATGTGTTTGATAGTTTATACTTTATATAAGATGAGATGAGATGAATTGAGATAAATCAATAAGTGAATTATATAACAAGATAATTAAATATTTAATATGATTTAGTATATTTTATAAATTAAAGAAAATAGATTTAAAGAATAATATAATATAATAAATAAATAAATAAATAAATAAATAAATAAATAAATAAATAAATAAATAAATAAATAAATAAATAAATAAATAAATAAATAAATAAATAAATAAATAAATAAATAAATAAATAAATAAATAAATAAATAAATAAATAAATAAATAAATAAATAAATAAAATAAAATAAAATAAAATAAAATCTTTTTATTTCAATTTTTAAATTATATAAATTATATAAATTACATACATATAGATGTATAAAATACAATATAAATAATCTCAAACAAACCATTAAATATTCAATATCCCATCCCATTCATCACTACTACAAATCACTTCATAAAACCACTCACTCTACAAAACCTATATATTCCCACACCATAACCTTCCTATACCACCAAAAAGTCATCATTTATTATCATTATCATAATACACCCACTCAACAATAATAAAAATATAACAAAACCCTCCCAATTATTCATTTATCCATCTATCCATTCCATTAACAGAGAACAAAATCCATTCGTTTCCTTTCCTTTCCTTTCCCTACATCTCGTTTCCCTTCTTCAGCCGCATTCATCCACCAACCCATCCATCCATTCCCTCACCTCACCTAACCTAACCTCACCTCAGATCCTCTAATAAGATGAGATGAGATGGAATGAGATGAAGTGTTACATCCGAATTCACATTCACACATCCAAATTCACTCACATTCACCGCGCGTAAAAGCTAACGAACAAACCTAATATTACCATTGCGTCAAATTTTAAGACTTTACAACCGTTGCGTTACTACTACTAATAATAATAAATATTTGAATTACGGCGCGCTGAGAAAGATGTATGATTGGTGGGAAGGAGGGAGTGAGCAAGGAAAGGGAGTGTCTTTATCCGGATGAGGGGGGTTGATTTATTTATTTACTATCCTATTTTATTTTATTATTTTATTTTATTTATTATTATTTGAAGAAGAATAATAATAATAAAATATTAAAGATCCAAAACCAAATCCAATCCAACGTAACATCAAACAAACAAAACCAGCAAGCCTCGCCCCAATCCACCGGGTCCCTCTACATTTTAAGCCTCGGTTCGCCCTCAACGGTCTGGTGATGTATGCATGCATGAGCATGGACACGCATGCACGCGCATATACATATAAAAGTACCTAGTGAATGAAGGCATCCATCCATCCATCCATCTAGCTAGCTAGCTAGCTAGCTTATCCAACAAACATCCATTTACGATCCCGTGCATCGCTGAATCCGTAGCATCCGAATCCGCAACAGGAAAGTATGATGCTATGTGTATACAGAGCAGAGATACATTTCCTTGTATGGTATATTTGCACAGGTAGGTATGTGTACAAGCATACTCGTTTCCGGAGACACACACACATAGACACGCATGCCTAAACGAGGCAGCTGTCCACTCTCAGGCGCTTTACATACAGATGTACAGGCCATCTCTATCTCATCTAAGCTGAATCATGCAAACACAGACCCTAGACGTAAGAAACGGACAAATTACGAACCGATTCGCATGAAATGACTGCAACACCCTTTCACCCCAGATTGTTTCTTCACCCCATACGATTTTAACTTTAAAATTAACATTAAAGCCCTCGTAAATACGTCTGGCTAAGGTCTCGGGAGGGTGATGTGCATTATGTCTATGAACTTGACACTTGGCAGGGGAATGATTTTGATCTGTATTGTGTCGGTGTGGATTAGAGAAAATGTTGAACAAAGATGAAATGAAGAATGCTTATCTATCATAGATCTGACATGACTCGTACCAGAGCCTTACCAGCAATGAGTATGACTGAAATGAATGTTCAGTCCAGATAAGCTACTCTCAGAAAGGAAGGACAGATAGAAAGCGGGATGTTCACAAGCAAGGTAGAGAAGTAGTAAATAGTGGGAGAGGAAGCAACAAAGCAAGCGAGGGAGTAAAGTTTTTCATGAAGATGGAGCGTAGTGAATGAGTGGTGGTGAAGATCCGCAACGACGAGGCACGTTTATTAATTTGACCCTAGAAATCGAATCCAGGATAAATTATAGAGAAAAAAAACTTGTTTTCCTTATTTTACCATTTTCCTCATGATAGAAAGTGCCCTGGCCCTAAACTTTTTCAACGTCTCTGGTGGTATAGTGGCTGGAAACTAGCAAGAGGGTGCGGCAATGCCTGTAACATATGTAAGCCGTGCACCTAGTTGGGTGTGAGCCTGCCGGAATTCCTGGAATGTTACATGCGATCATGGAAGGGGAAGGTAAGAAAAGTGTAATTATTAATGAAGACCCCAACTTTTGGGTGGTGAGTGACGACAGGGATAATGCATAAGGTGTGGGTGGAGAGACTCGAAGTAGTATTGAGGAGCTCTTTTTGAGGGGCCGGCACGGAATAAGAAGGAAACAAGAGATAAACAAATAGTGAACATCGCACGAGGTGACGAATTGGAATTTCCCTTTACGGAAAATTTGCTCAATTTGTGGGTTTTAGGATTATTTGAGTTGAGAAAATATGAATGTAACCTTGCAAAAAAAATAAATATGATAAATTAAAACAAATAATTTCTTTCAACACCTAACTTGGGGGTTGAAGTCAAGACAAGCATATATATGCGGGGCCGCGGCGCTTATTTCCTCAGCTCAGTCGGAGTCAGTCCGAAGCAAAGCAGAGCAGAGCACAGTGCCTGCCTGCTACCCAAGAGGCACAGCAAAGCACATTGTGTTGCGTCTCGGTCGAGATTACCTAAATTAATCGACCCAAAGCTCTAGCTCATGTTCTGATTGCGCTTCGGCGCTTGTACAAGACTGAATGAGGATGTTAGGCTCTTTTGACTTCTATACTTGTCGCTTCGACTACGTATTGCATGACGTTGATCATACTAATGGAAACTAATAGTTGGTAGATCTACCGTCTCTTTCCAAATATGATATCTCTGTCATATTCGATACATCTATCGAAGGATTCTCCAACGTCTCAAACGTTGGCTGCCTACCTATAGGAAGTCGTCCTATTCCCTGTTTAGTTGGTGTCCATGATTTCAACATTTAGCTTTGGCGATTGGAGAGTAATCTTCATTTCATATACCGTCGTTACATGTATTATTGCCTGTTGGTTATAGAGACAAAAGAGGCTTGGATTCGGTGAATAACTTGATTAAGGGAAATATCGATTGGTAGGTCTGACAAGAGTTTTGGTGCGATAATGTCTTATATGATAGTGTGAATGCGGTGCTACATAATCCAACCGGCATCTCTACACCCAACTCCTTACCCCGAGTTATTTGGATGCTCGTCGTTGGAATGAAATAATGATAAATGATAGAAAATATTAATAAAAAATAAAAATAAAAGAACAATAAGAACATTCAAGAAATAACCTTTATTAAAGATTGAAATAAATAACAATTCCTAAGAGATCATTCGCTGCAAACGTGTCCAATGCCAACTCGAGGAGGAACAATCAAATTAATCCTCGAGGCGCTTCCATTCCGTTAAGTATAAATTTAAACTTGAAACAAAATTTCCGTACTCAGCCTGCAAACTTCAGTTGAGTACCTACCTACTGTAAATACGTCACCTTATTATTGATGTCTAATTGTCGAAATTTAATATTCGTGAATGGATTTTTGGATTGTCTCATAATGTCTACCTAAGGCTCAATCTTGGGGCCAGGAGTATGCATATGCAGATGAGGCTGAAATGGGAATAAAGGTTGCTGAAGATTCGTATATGCACCAACTGTTGTACCTGTTGTATTTTGGGGGCAATAGTTTCGAATTGTGGTTTTGGTGAAGATCTGCGGTTGATTTCTAGGCCGAAGAGACGGTCGAAATTGATCATGCCGTTTGGATAAGTGTGAGATGAGAAAGTAAATGGTTCCTGATTGGTTGGAAGGTGAGCAATGGAGAGGGCAGGATGGTGGATGAACAACGTCGCGTAACAATTCGTGAGGAGTTGGGTTCAAAATAGTAACGGCTAAAAATAGTCTTGAGGAGGAGAATGTAGGCAAAAGCCGTCCGTGAAAGACTCGTCACTAAATTGTAATGGAATGAGTGAAGAGATGCGTTGGGTTGTGATTATGGTCGCTTCTCCGGTTGCTCACAACCAGGAATTCCCTTATTGTCAAGAGACTGTTGCTGCATGAATTAGTGATCTCAGATCAAAACCCTTTCTATTCTTACAATATCCGCTTCAATCGTGGATTTTGTCGATCGAATTCCCTTAGGAGAATGCCTGATGCCAAGTTGGTCCCAGTTTGTGTCAACCTTCATCTTGAAACCACTATGCTTTATGCTTACTCATTTCAGCAATCACATCTTCCTACCCATCGTGGAAATGTGACAATTTCCCTTATATTCTGCACACCGGCAAGATATCCCAACAATCTATCGAATCCCAAGCCAAATCCTCCATGAGGTACACTTCCCCAGCGTCTCAGTTCTGTGTACCATTTCAAGGAACCGAAGTCTTCTTCTCCTGCATCACCTCGCACCATACCGTTCGCTCGCATAGCAGAAATTAGTTCCGGCAATCTATATTCACGCATAGATCCACCTACGATTTCACATACCTCAGGAACTAGAAGATCGAAACATTGGACAGTCTCCGAAGTTTTTCCTTCGCCTGAATTTTCTGAAGGCAGCATGTAAAATGGCTTGATGGGTTTTGGATAATCTGTTACAAAGACAGGCGATCCAAGTCCGATCGCGTCGGCGATATAGCGCTCGTGTTCAGCTTGAAGACCCGAACCAAAGATAGGAGGATGTTCGAAACTTTGCCCACTTTCTTGAAGCTCTTTGATAGCTCGCGTATAGGTGATCCGTGGCCAAGATTCCTTCATCATGCCTTCCCATCTTCGTGTCAATTCCCAGTTTCTGTTTATGGTATCGGTTTCTTCGTCGCCGCTTCGCTTCGCTTCCAATATTTCTTTCCCTACCTGAGTAGAATAAAGGTTTGTTGTCAAATGTCTTAGCATATTCTCGACAAGGTCCATAACGCTATCCATTTTTTCCACGAAACAGCATTCCGCTTCCAACATGTAAAACTCGCTCAGGTGTCTTGGTGTATCACTTTTCTCCGCTCGGAATGTAGGGGATAGTGTCCAAACTTTTCCGACCGATTGAGCCAAAGCTTCCAAGTGTAGTTGACTTGAAACAGTCAAATATTTTGATGATCTGAAGAATGTTCCATCATCATTTTTCCCAACCGGCCCTTTATGCGCGCTACCTACTTCAAACACTTCTCCCGCGCCTTCACAATCTGAAGATGTAATTATGGGAGGGTGTGTTTGGACATAATCTTGCTCAGTAAAAAATTGTGTGAGGGAGGCTATGCTTTGTGATCGAAATCGAAGTAATGCTGAATTGAAGGGCGTTCTTGTTCGCAAATGAGGAATGGTACGGAGGTATTCAGGTGTGTGGTATTTGTTCTGTAGCGGGAAAGTCTGCCAATACGGATTAGTAATGACCATCGAGAAAAATGTATTGCTTCCAAGCCTTACATACGGCAGGATCTGCGGCACCTAAGACATTTACTTCAAGCACATGCAATTCATTGCTTTGTGCCTTTTGGTTCGGGGAAGGTTTCCAGTATCCGGTGAGGCGTACGGCTGTGCCCGTCGAGAGTCTATCGTACGATTAGGAATCGATTAGGAATGAAGAGAAACATTTTTGTATGGCTATCAGACCTTTCAGCTTGTTGTGGAGTGAGAAGAGCTTGTAATGGTTGCACACTTGAGCCATCACCGATTGAAGCAAACGATATCTTTTTCTGGTTCCTAATTGAACGAATGAAACCATTGACATTGACTTTAACCTCATCTACATTCCGAGGAGCTGTTCCGAGCAATTTCGCAACTGATAGTTGCGAAGATCTCACAGGGTGGGAAATACTGAAGCTCCTCGATTTGATTAAAGATTGTGCGACATAATTTGATTTTGATAAAAGCCGGGGTGGTTGTAACATTGTTTCTTAATCGATCTTTTGGGGGAGCAAGGTGACTCGACAAGATCGACAGAATTAATTTCAGTTTTCCTAATAGAATAATTGTGTGGTTGCCTGTAGTGATATAGTTATCTCGTATTGTATTCTTTTTGGAGTTTCTGATATTAGAAGACATTTTGGCAAGTCAAGGTCACCGTAGACGCGCGCTAAAAGATTAGGTAGAGCACTGACTGAGATTAAGATCTGCCGAGCCGAAACGACCCGGGCCGTTGGCTGAGCATTCTAACTACCTACCTACCTTAGCATCAGATTTGATCCATCGAATGTTTGATAGGAAATCCTCTTGTAATCTCATGAATAACCACACTATTTGTTATTTGTTATTTAGATGGAGATACACAAATACTTCTTCCGTCATCTAGAATTACTAGCTTAATCTGCAAATAATCGAATCCTCGTCAGGGGCTTATACAGGATTAATTACGAGTCTGGGCGCCGCCAAAAGCAATTCAAAATTGGAGAAAAAAGATTTCCTATTTGCTCCTCAGACCTTTCTTTTCCTTGTTGGTCTCTTATCATTCCTCAAATATCTGAAAATTGGAGTGTATCATTAGCCATCTACACCATCTTCTAGACAAAGTATACTGACTGTCGCCTTGCGCAACGATTCGAAGCCGTTTCTTTGGGATGTGCCCCTTTTCGTGAGAACGTTGCACAGTACCGGTATTCCATTAGTTCGACTGTCCATACCCGTCGTCATCCTGAACTAGTTTGAATATGCACGGGCCAATATTGGTTCTCATCTACTTTTATCTGTTCGTGTTGAGATGACGAGAGACTTGACAGATCTATTTCTCGCGAATCTTATGTAACCTACATGAATTGATCAAAAGATCTTGGGGACCGTCTTCGGTAACATGCATAGGTTTGTCATTTGGTAGCAAGGACTCGGAGGTTGCAACCCATATTATCCGCCGCCCATTTCCTGTTGATATGTCTTCAGCTCTGTGGAAATGATCTTGACTCAAAGAGTCTGGACCAAAAGGTCAATTTTCAATATACCTTTTCTTGACTGACAATACCTAGTTGTAGTAACCTGTCAGCTTCAGGTCTGTGTTCGAGATCGTGCATCAGGAATGTGGACTAGATCGCGTTCGCAGCTTTTTCTTTTTTTTGAATCAAAGGCTCCGTCCCCCCCCTCCGTTTATATAATGCTTGAGTGATTCCCTTTTGATTCTATTGTTTCCATGTATCACGGTTGAATTACAATTACTACAACTTCTGATTTCTCACTTACTTTATTATATATACCCACATTGTTTTTCTCAATCTGTAGCTTTCGAGACATCTTTCCTCATCCTACCTACAACTTCAATATGCCTCCCTCAAAGCCAAAACCTTCAGAAATTGCTGCTGAAGCTAAGAAGACTTATATTCCTTACATTCGTAGTGCATGTCCACAGTGGCCAACTACTTCGTATTTATGTCATTCGGATTCTTTACGAGACCAGCAAATTAGAGAACCAAGGCAGTACACATTTGGTATGTGTCTTTGAAGAAATCCACAAGTCCATTAACTAACATCGACAGCTTTCTTGGAACGGGATCCTGTGGACCTAGCTCTTGAATGGACAGCCAGCGAGAATAATCGCCCCATTCCCGTCATCATGCCAGCACATGAAAGGCGGCCTGGTGGTGATTGGGAAGCTGGTATGTAATGCCAGTTTGTGGTCTTATCTTCTTGTATCCTAATCCATTATTTTTAGGTGTCATGCAACCTGAAGAGTGTTTAGCCAGACGAAGCACTCTCTATACTTGCTTGACTACTCCAGCATCAGACAACATTACCTCAAATAACTATCCCATTCCGGAACGAGCTGGTATAATCTCTCAGAACGTTGGTAAGTTGGCTCGACTCAAACCAAATGTGGCATGCATTCTAACAGACACAAGTTGTTTTTCGTAATGGACCAGAAAAGTATGAACCTTGGTCAGAATACAAATGTGAGTTCTCAAGCTATCAACGTAAGAGATTTATGTTGACAAGTAATTCAGCGCTGCCAATAATCTCCGTTCCTACCGTCAAACGTCCTAAGCTTGACAGCTCCGGCAAAAAGTACTCCTTCAAAACCGAACGCGAATTAATGAAAGCGTCCATCAAAACTGCCTTAAGAATTGCAATCTTCTATGGATATGATAAGATTGTGATCGGAACATATGGACTTGGCCCAGGCTTCAAGAACCCTCCAGAGGAAGTTGCAAACATCTGGCGCGAGGTACTGGTCCGCGACGACGAATTTAATCAGCAATTCTCGGCCATCATATTTGCTTTTGAGCCATGTGAAGGTCCCGGAGGTTCCACAAGCAGCTCAAGCTCTTCATCGAAAAGCTCGAAGTCGTCAAGCTCAAGTAGCAAGACTTCTTTCACCCATGAGCTTGACATTTTCAGGCAAACATTCAAACCAGCAAATCTCCACGGCGCCTTCAAGTCTTGAAACTTTTCAACGGTGATGCTTGTGCTTGGCGTTTTAGGGGGGCAAAGGGGTGTTACATGTCATGATGCAGGCATGGTGGAATACATGGTGGCGTTTGTTACACGACAGCTAATGCAGAAATTATGATCTGGCATAAGAGCGGTGGAAAAAATGTTGGGATCACTTTTTAAATTTCTTCTGTAGACAATTAAAATTGAGAAACATTACAGTTCTTAGGAAGGGTTCTTGTTACCTACCTTTTGAAATACTTGATTACTTATTCATTGCTGAATGAGAAGGTGAAACCAGGAGCTGAGGAAAGTTCCTTGAATAACTGCAGCCTATGAGACTGTATCCGCTGATTACTTTTCTCAAGGAGGACCAGCTAAATCCCATGGCTTGAATTGTAACTTCTTTGGAAAGCCAGGCTGATTACTTGTCGGACGACATCGCCTAATGTTGTTGTGCTGGCGGATACGGAACTATCTCCGGTCTATCTTGAATTGCTTTTTCTTCGTTTTACTGTACCTAATTCGTATGTAAATCACCTGTTTTTTCCGTTGCTGGATCCAATTTCAATCTCGCATTCTCAGCTCCCAATTCCCCAAATTTAATAATTCTCCGTTTCCAGATATCACATCGTGGTCACAGCATGCGTCAAAACGGAGATTTTCTTTTGGTCTCCTAATCGGAAAACATTCCACCCATCAAAAATGCTCAAGTACAGTATTTTGCGATACGCAACGCAGTGACAGTGTCACTTCAATATGACATATGTGGCTCCAACCCCAACAAAATATGCAACCAACCGCACGATTCCGCCCCCAACATTACAATTCTCCAGATCTAGTACGACGACCAGGCACGGCCGAACCTACAACTCGGGCCCTTTCCAACTCTGTCTCTCCTTGCAATGTGCAACGACGTTCGACCAAATCGGCGGATCCTGCATTGCGCTACTCTTATCCGTATTGCTTTGATCAATTGGTATGCATGTTCCCTGCGTCGCACGGCGCTGTTCTGGAAGTCGGACGATGGGATCGCTGAAAGGATATGGTCGGATCTGAAAGAGGTGTCAAGGCTGCGGGCCGCGAGTCGCAGTGTTACACGCGAGATATCGGTACTCGAAATTTCTGTATCACGCCAGGTCGAGAAAATGTGGAGAGGGAAGATGGATTGAGATAGACGTCACAGATTGATTTGGAAAAATGCACTGAGGTCGTACGGTGGGACCAATACGATCATGTGAAGTGATTGGTTTCGTCGGTACGCCGCTAGGAGAATATTTATTGATATTCGTGCTACGGTGAACTTTTCCGGATCTTGACTTGGGAGTTTTCTATCACAGCTGCAGAATGTGACGGATCGGAAATGTCGTGGAGCGTGAGAGATTCTTTTTGTGGCATGATCTCGAGGGGCACTGGTACAGTCAACGAGGGGGTACATCCATTCGGCCCCCAATATTACCGTTCCTGGAAACCTGAATAAAGGAGAAACATGTCACATTTTGTGCTCATGGATGACGTTGGATACTTTTTGGAAACCCAAGAGATATTTTAATTCATTGTGGATCTTTCATTGAATATCAAATATTGTTTTCTTAATCCGTCGAGCCATATCGTAAAGATCTTGGTTTCAAACATAACCGTTATATACGCCAGGCTTAGCTCCAAGCTCAACTACTAATCTACCTAATCTGTAGCCCAAGCTTTCCTCTTCCGATGTCACAAAAACTCGGCCCGAGCTTTTACGCCAACCTCAAATGCCAGTCATGACCATAATGGTGCCGATTCGGGCTTGATCTTTCGGGAGACTTCGGTGATACGCAATTATCCCGATCACAGTAGCTTGGATGTTTGACCTCTTTGTATTGCTGCATATGACATTGATTGTGTCGCGGACATTTCTTCTCGCAGAAATAGCCAATAATGTGGCTACATCGTGGGCAGACGGTTTGGACGTAGATACACATATTCGGTGGTATTCTCTTTTGTTCGTTTTATTCTTTTACGCTTTCGTGGTTTCGAAATCGATGAGGTGTTGTGATGATTTATCGCTTGGATAATCATGGAAGTGAAAGATGATTCAATCTGGAACTCCTCATCATTTGAAGAGCACAAGTTGTGTTCGCTAAATGGTTAGCCATCAAACTACTTCCACTATGTTCTTTGTTCGTGGTTCATACTATGTAATTGTGTGAGACTTGTTTTCTTTGATAAAATAGCATTTCATTGACCATCTATCTCTAAAATTAGTTCGCTTGCAAGTGGACAAGGAATTATCGACGCTCGGGTGACATGCCGGTTTCTGCATTGATTTCAACAACGAGATTAGAGACAAGTTCAACGAAGACAGCTTCAATGCCTTGGTAAGATTCCAGAAACTCCTTATCTAGTGATAAGCAGTGTTCTTTTGTGGTATAATGACTAGAAATAGGAGGGTCATCTTAGCATCCTTTCCCACATCCATCAAACCTATCCACACCCTCTTCAACCCACAACCAAATACGTATTCTTCTCCATCTTCAACCGTCAGTCACCACACAAATATGTGCCTTCTTGAAATCAGATATTGCATCATATGTCACAAGCGAACCACCGTGTGCTTCATTCCCCCCAATCCTGCTTTACCAGGATTCGTACCGGAAGTCAAACAAATGCCTGTATGCTGCCCCAAGTGCATCGCTTTGCCGGTTAGAAATCAAGTGCCGACGAACAAGTACACCCCAATGAGACGATCATGAGATACACGGCATGAGGCCGTGTAAACGAGATTGATGGTTCCAGACTGAGAGAATGGGCGGAAAATGATGGGAAACTTGAACTACGGTATTGATGGTTATGGAATATGATTTGCATTCTGACTCGTGGGATATGGAGTCATGATGAATTTGAAAAGAGGTGGTTAAGCAGCTCAAGAACAATGTCCAGGCAGTTCATTCCTCCAATTCTCGCAAAGAGTCTGTCTGCATCTCCTCTTGCGGATCAAATCTTACAAAGCGAGCATATAAACAGCTTCTGAAAATTCATTGTGCACTTTTGATCTACTATCAATGAGCAAAACCAGAACATAAACAAAACAATAAATTTTTCCCGTGTATATCTTCCTTCAATTCTCTTGTCATTACATCTTCTATCTTTTCTCATCAGCCTTGAATCAATAGAATCACAAATAGCCAAACCCGAATCTGCAAATATCAAGCCCAAGAAATTCACAACCAAAGCAAATTTCCCAAAAAGACCAGCCCCAAAACCAAAATCATGAAATCAATCATCATGAAAGCCCTTCTCTTCCTCAGCATTGCAAGCCTCACAGCCGCAACCGCCGCTGAAGAAAAGCACGGGCACTTCCACGCAACCGCCCACGAACACACCGGAGTGGAGCCGCAATACTTCTTGCTCGACCTCAACTGCGACGTCAGTAACAGCACCAACCCCACCGAGCTCACTCTCACCTGTGACGTTCAAGGCGTGAAGAAAGTACCCGGACACATCTACGACCCTAGTAAGTACCGCATGGAAATTGGATCTGAATCACCAGCCGATGTCAACTTCTGGGAATACATCGTCCATCAGAGGTCTCTTCAGCCTTTCACCGTCTCGCAAGGGTCTATTCCTTCCGGAGAGAAATCAATCACGATGTTGGCGGGTTGTTGGGCATCTCTTAAGGAATGGAAAGATCTTGGACGTCCTGAGGCGGATTATGGCTATCAGGTTTTGGAGGTAAGAGCTTTGCGCGATTTGTGAGGGTGGGAGGAGTGGAATTTTCGATCGAAAGTTTGGAGCAACTAGTGAGTATTTCTCGTTATTTCTTTTCAGACTGTCATTATCTACGCTCAAACCTGCCAATGTGAAGAATCAAGACATCTTTTCTTAAAATGATATTATATTAAATCCTAACTATTGAACAATTTTGCAACATAATATGTGAATATGTGAAAAGTGCACCAACTACAATCGACGACTCAGTGACAATTTAAAAAGACAAGCTGAAGTGAACCAAGAGCAGTTAAAATACCACGCATCGAATTATATAAGTTCCTGAAGAAGCTGAAACTTCAACTGATCCGGATTCATCATCGGCATATAGCATATATTTGAATGATATTGAAGCCCGGAACGATATGCTACCTAGGTAGCTTGATGTAATCTTTGAAAATGCCTATTCAATTGATCTGCGCAGCCAGCCCAACCCCTATTATCAAAATCCCAGGCAGATGAAAAGTATAAGACATATATCTGAAGTCAGTGTCTAAGAATTTTGAAGCTCCATATATAGATACTTGAAAGTTTAGAAGTGTTTGCATGTCCAAGAAGATTCACTCATCACTTACCAGTACCACTGACCAATATGTAACTCTACAATATAGTCCTCAAATCTTTCCGCCTTGTCACATACGACCATAGACTGAAGAGAATTGGGCATCCCGTCCGCTCTGCCATACACAAGCTTCAGATCGGTGGATTAGTAGTTGGGTGGGTGACCACCAGCGAATCCCCACTGTTGTATGTTCTTTTCTCTTTTTTTCATGAAGTTTCTTTTTAGGGCTTTTGCTGAGGAAAGACGGTAGAGAATCTTTTCCGAGAGCTTCGTTTTGTCCGCCATAAAGATAGATGCCTTCTTGGCTTTAAGATTGACGAAGATGGGGAAAGCAAAATCTGTGTTGCACCATCTAGCAGGTCGAAACACAATTTGAACAATGAATACCATTGACACGAAGAGGAATACTAGGTAATCTTGGCTACAGGCAACTACGCAGCCATGATACTATTTTCCTCTTCCTCTCTTCGTCTCATATTGAACAGCTCCAGAGTAATAAACGTCTTCGCTCACCTAACAACTTCCTTTCCATCTCACAAACCTCACTTCCCATCTCCATACATCCCATAACTCCATATTCTCGTTACGTTATTACCACATTTGCAGCGAACATAGCACTAGTCAATTTCTTCTTTTTCCTTAAAGAAAACCAACTAAACAAGCAAAAAGGAGCTATATAGAACCTGAAAAACTGAAATGGGGAATGAAACAAGGGAAGGGATGAATATTTGCAATATCTTTTCTTCTTCAAATAACCCATGTAACCCTCCCTCCATGCCTGGACGTTAGAATATAAGATCAAATGGGCCGCTATTAACAAGATCAAAGGTTTCGCATTTCCAGTGGATATTACGTGGCGCGTTGGCTTCTGGTTGTGGAGGAGAAGGATGGATGAGGCGGGAAGCTCATAAGTGCTTGCATCATGGGTCATTAGCTTCAAGTTGGTAAAGCTTTTGATTCTCTGGAAATCGGTGGGAATCATGGTATAGCGATGAATTATTAGCTTGAATTATGATTAAAAGAGGTATCTTCATACAAGCCATGGCCGAGTACGGCAAGAAGACGTCGAGATGGGTTTTGGAGAAAGGCTCTGAGTTGGAGTGAATTTGTATTTTAAATGTTGAATATTTATGCACGCTAATCACATGTACTGTCATATCACAGTTCCTTTCCCACCCTCGCTCCAAAATTCGACTCCAGATATCCCTGGTTTTTCTCTTCGAGTTTCAACTACGCCGTACACTTTTCTTCATCCATCATCTCATCGTGATTTACCAGTAGGGAGGTCTCAACCCTGCGAAATTCGATGTTATTGAGGAGTTATCCCCGCTATCATCCTTTTTTCTTTGCCCTGTTAACTATTTCCACAGGCAATGTTAGCATCAACCATATTCAACCTCGGTCAAGAGAGATAACTTACTTCTAGCTGCACATGACGGTGCAGGTGAACCAACCAATCTACATAGCTCTGGGCCTCATTATTTCTATCTTCCACCAATAGTCTGGCAAATTCGTATTCTGCACCATCGAGACCTTGTCTCGCAAGCTGAATCGTCAAAGCTTTGGCTCCACGCATCGTCTTCAAATATTCTAGTATGTTTCGTACTTGAGCGCTGAGATGAGTTTGAAGCACAGGTAAAGATGAAAGATATGGATCCAGTGCCTTGAGATTATCTTTGTCTTCGCCGAATAGATCAACGATGAGGTTAGGTGAAGTTTGACCATGCATCCAGAGGTAACAGTTCTGTCCATTGTCCACAAGGTATACCCCACCCTCTTCAACTCTTGCAAAAGAAGCTCGTACAGAGGGTGGCATCCTCAGATGGCCATCTTCATTTGCAAAGCCGTCTTCAGGGGCAAGGTTATGAATTGGAATCATGCGAGGATAGAGGTACAGAGAAAGCTCTAGAGCGCCCATGCTTTTGATCATACGCGCGTCATGAACTCGGCGATCGGAAGGTTCTTGTCCTCCTTTGAAAGCCCGAGATTTGATGAGACCAAGAATATACATACTGAATTCTTTGAGGTGCTCTGGTAGAACTAATTGACCTGGAGGATGAGATCCCGAGAAATTCTTACGATATCCGGCCAATATGTCGACGTTCTTTTCTGACAAGGCGCCTCGAATCTCTTTCAATGAATGTGCTAGCATTTTTGATGCAGCCTCTTTTGCAATCAACGAGTAAATGGCATCTTGATCCACAAAGTTCATGCATTCCTTAGGTTGATCGCTTACGCTGGCAATAACGTTCGAACATCTGACCCTTCGCTCACCACTAGCCGTAGTGTAAAGTAAGGCACTTTGGAAGTGAGCATCCAACTTGGAATCTAGTTTTCCGTCATAGCTGAATAAGACCCCCATGGCCTTGTCCGAATCGATGACACCGAATTCAATATCAGCTCCAAAAGTATGTTGTATGAAATTGCCATGGTATGAAGATATTTGCAATCCATTTGAACATCGGACCTTCATCAGCGCTTGATATCCAGTCTCTCGTGTAACAGAGCGCACAATTTCATGTGATAATTTCTCGTTATCTCGTGGAGAGACAAAGTTAGGATAGTAAAATGTTTCTCCGCCAGTAGCAGCAGCGACATGACCTATTGGAAAAGTTAGTCACTTCTAGTAATTGGCATATAAGATTGCATTTATTTTACCTATTGTTGCAATGTCGAGATATCCGCCGCCGGGAGCAGCAAGGAACAAGTCAATACCAACTCCAGTCGCAACCATTTTATCTGCTGCCTTCCTCCAACCTGGATGCTCGGTAGTGAATAGCTTTTTGTCCTGCTCTCCGCCATGCTGTTTTCCATCATCACGGAGAAATAATCTGCCAGGGCCCCAGGTTGGAAGAGCTGACAAAGAGCACACAATTTTTCCTCCAGTCTTTTCAAGAGCTGCCATAGCTGCATTGATAGTAGGAAGTAATGCTGGCTCAGGATTTTTTATCTGAGAAAATAATTGTGGTAGTTGACTTAACAAAGAAGTAATGTTGGACTTTGCTTCATAAGGATCCACGAAAAGACCATCGCTGAGGGGGACAAATGGATCTTCAATATCCGGCATAATTAACATTTGAGCTTGTTCCAGTGCAGGATTCATGTTATAAAAGTGAATGTCTTTGTCAAAAGTCACGAATCCGACTTTAGATCCTTCAGGAATTTTGCGTTTCGAAGATCCATCCTCTTCGGTTGAATCATCGCCGCCGTACAAAGCTGCTAGAATACCTTCACAAAACGCTTCCAAGAACCCTTTGTTTAGCGCTTCTTGACCAACATCAATCAAGAATATCCATCTCAAACCTACAGGCTCTTGCGACCAGTATTCTTTCGGAACCAGAAATTCGACCGTACCTCGCATCAATTCAGGCCTTTGCTCCCTATCAACTCTAGCCCCCTGTGGTGTAGTCGCGCAAAAGTATTCAGCAGGAACATCGTTCGCATAGTTGCACATATTGCATACAAACTTGTTACCTCCGGACCTGAATACCATAAAAGGGTTTATGTAGGCACGGCATCTATGACATCTAGGAGGTCCTGTTTCTCCAAAGTCCAAAACTGGTATTTCGAGTTCACCCGGCTGCAACGGGGCTAATGGTTGCAAGAGAAGACCGAGGGGCAACCCAGTCGAATGTAATGCATCAGCGGTGGATGGGATATTGTTCATCGTTAAACGTGCAAACTTTGGTGAAGCATTTCCTTGATCGTATGCAACGAATGGCACTGTAGCTGGAGGTGGAAGGTGGTGCTCAAAGGTTGGGTAAACGTTCTTGAGGTAATATTGCGCTATCGCATCTCTTGATCGAGGTACACTGGGAATTTGATCTGGGTCTACTCGGCCTTGCGCTGAAGTCTGCACATTAGCAGAAAAGGCATCCCCAGGTCCAGTTCTCGCAGCGAACTCAGCAGGTGTGGCGGGGTTCGTGGGGTTAAATGGCGCATTCACAGGGGCAGGAAACTGTGACATTTGAGGTGTTATTGGCGAATTTAGGAACTGACCACCTGGAGATGGTATTAAAGAAGGATCGGCATTGAGAAAAGCTGAAGGAGGAACGCCGCCCTGCGGTATTCCATTAAATGCTTGTGAAGAACCTTGAGCTTCTACAACATGATATGCGTGCCTATCCTTCTTCTTTTTCCTTGGAGCTGGTTGTTGATTCGATATCTGTAGATTTTCCATGCCGAGATCGTTTGGATCCGTGGGATGCATCATAGGATTTCCCTGATCTTGATATACAGGCTGTCCGCCATAATATGGCTGCTGTTGCTATAAAAAACGGTCAGTCCATGAAAAAAACGGTGAATTTATTCTCAAAAGTCTTGTAAATAGAACAGATTGCCTTACGAAAGGAGGTTGCGCCATATTGTCTGTCAAAGATTCGGGCAGCTGCGAAATATTATAAGATTATGTGGGCGTGAAGTAGTAGAGAGTCCGCGAATAAATAGGATATTAACAGGAATAACTGGCGAAAAACATTGAAATATAAGCCAAGGTATTAACTGAATGGAATTGAAGATATAAATTCCCTCCCACCACCACTCCCTTAAGGCTACTTTGCCTCATGTCCTAGGACCAGGCCTAAACCTTAAATTTTTAGCGTGCTATAATATTATTGGGCATTCGGTCGCGGCTACAGCCTTTCCAAAATAGCCTTGTATTCTTTATTACCAGAATACATACTCCGTCCTTCCATTCCATTTTATAATTGTCACAGAATGCAATAACAATGTTTACTTTTTGTTCCTTACAGGGAGCGCAATCCGAATCATCGGCGTCGCAATCATTACTTGAGCTTGATGGAGGAGTTAAGGTGCTGATTGACGTGGGATGGGATGAAACTTTCGATGTGGAAAAGTTGAGGGAGCTTGAGAAACAAATCCCGACGCTCTCACTTATACTTCTCACTCATGCCACCGTTCCTCATATCGCGGCTTATGCACATTGCTGCAAACACTTTCCTCTCTTCACTCGAATACCTGTCTATGCAACACATCCTGTCATCGCGCTTGGAAGGACTCTCTTGCAAGATTTATATAGCTCAACACCACTAGCGTCAACCGTTATACCTACGACTTCTTCTTTCCTTCTTCAACCTCCTACGAAAGAGGAAATCAATTACTATTTTTCTCTCGTTCGTCCTTTAAAATATTCGCAGCCCCATCAACCACTTAATGGAGTAACAATTACAGCCTACAATGCGGGACATAGTTTAGGAGGCACAATATGGCACATTCAACACGGGCTCGAGTCTATAGTTTATGCAGTGGATTGGAATCAAGCTCGTGAGAATGTTTTGGCTGGTGCGGCTTGGTTGGGCGGGGCGGGAGCGGGAGGGGCTGAGGTTATCGAGCAACTACGAAAACCGACCGCATTAATATGTAGTAGTAAAGGAGGAGAACGAGTTGCCTTACCCGGAGGAAGAGCCAAGAGAGATGAACTTTTACTCGATATGATCAAATCATCGATTAAAAGAGGAGGCATTGTCCTTATACCGACAGATTCTGGAGCGCGAATGATGGAACTAGCATATCTCTTAGAGCATGCTTGGAGAACTGGAAACCAGGAAGAGGAAAGCGCATTCAGGTCCGCGAAACCTTACCTAGCAGTCAGTACAAGTGAAATGACGATGAGATATACGAGGAGTATGTTTGAGTGGATGGACGAAGCTATTATTCGAGAGTTTGAAGCGCAGCCTGGCCACGAGGAACAGCAAACTGGACAACAGAGGAGACACGCATACTCAGATGAATCAAAGCAAAACGCAGGCCCATTCGAGTTTAAACATCTTCGACTACTAGGGCGAAAGGGTCAAATTGACCGAATGTTAAATGAAACGGACAATTTAGGAAGATCAGTAGGAAAAGTAATTCTTGCCAGTGACACTTCCATTGAATGGGGATTTTCGAAAGAGGTGCTGCGGAAAATTGCGGACGATGACAAAAATCTTCTGATTTTGACAGAAAAGTTGAATCGTATTGACGGAGTTACAGGATTAGGAAGGACTCTGTGGTCATGGTGGGAGGAACGACGCAATGGAGTCGCTACCGAACCAAGCTCAAATGGAGGAAACTTAGAACAAGTCTATGGGGGAGGAAGGGACCTTGAAATCAGAGAACCTAAACGTATTCCATTGGAGGGTAATGATCTGACTGTTTACCAACAGTGGTTAGCGACACAACGTCAGCTGCAGAACACTCTTCAGCCGGGTGGTGCTACAGCTCTTGAGGCTTCTGCCGATATTGTTGACGATGCTTCGTCGGATTCGTCTTCAGATTCCGATGATTCTGAGACTGAACAGCAAGGAAAAGCTCTTAACATATCCGCAACTATGGGCCAAGCGAATCGGAAAAAGATTGGCTTGAGTGATGAAGATCTTGGCATCAATATACTTCTCCGAAAGAAAGGTGTTCACGATTTCGATGTAAGAGGAAAGAAGGGTCGTGATAAGATGTTTCCTATGGCGATCAGGAGGAAACGGAATGATGATTTTGGAGAACTGATTAGACCCGGGGAGTTTCTGAGAGCAGAAGAACGGGATGAGGTGGATGGACAGGAACCACAACGACCTGGAAAATATGACACGAAAGATACCCTCGGCAAAAAAAGGAAGTGGGATGATGTTGCAGCTTCCGGGAAACGAAGAGTGACGAATGAGGGCAAGCGACAGCAGGTCGGCAATAACGAGGATGACTCCGTAGCAGATGTTTTGGAAGAGGATGATCTAGTGGATATAGTAGAAGAAGAGATTCCTGGACCATCCAGACTGGATATCTCAGTTGAGACACTCAAGATCAATCTTCGAATTGCATTTGTCGACTTCGCTGGGCTTCACGACAAACGCAGTCTTCAAATGTTGATACCTCTAATCCAGCCTCGGAAGTTGATATTGGTCGGTGGTATGAAAGATGAGACGTTAGCACTTGCCAATGATTGCAGACAGCTTCTTGGTAGCACTAAAGATAAGCTCGTCGATGTATACACGCCAGAAATCGGTGTTATCATTGACGCAAGTGTAGATACTAATGCGTGGGCTGTGAAGCTCACTGACTCATTAGTTAAGCAATTGCGCTGGCAAAACGTCAAGGGGTTGGGAATTGTTACTCTAACTGGTCGATTAGAAACGACAAATATTGACACCGATTCGCATGATTCGGAAGGTGCCAATAAGAAGCAAAAGATGCTGACAGGGGAATCAGAGGAAACTCCAACGCAGGCAGCTCTTGATTCGGCAAAAGCTGTTGTTGAAATGCCAATCCTAGATGTACTACCTTCAAATATGGCATCAGCAACAAGATCGGTTGCGCAGCCTTTGCATGTTGGTGATTTAAGGCTAACAGATCTACGAAAAATCATGCAATCTTCTGGTCTTACTGCAGAACTTAGAGGAGAAGGTACTCTTTTGATTGATGGATCTGTCATTGTCCGTAAAACTGGTACCGGGAGGATTGAGGTAGAAAGCGTCGGTGTGACAACGAGTTCCTTTTACGCTGTTAAGGGGAAGATTTATGAAGGCCTTGCGGTAGTGGCAGGTGGATAAATCACTCAAAATCGAGATTCATTAGTATTTTCAAGCATTTCAAGGATAGGCGAAAAACTACAGCACTTTTGTACCATTATTATGAAGATGACCTCAAGGTTAGGTTCCATCTGGCATTCACAAAATTCAACATATACCCACATTTATTTGTGGGTGATTCATCCTTTAACTGCTAATTAATGTTAAGTATGTTGTCGATGGGTTTAATAAAGTTTTACCTGAATCACTGGAGGCAAGTCTGTTAATTGAAAATGTTCCATGATTCACAAATGTTTTCTCCATTCACAACCTCTATTGTTTTGGTTCAAGTCCAATCCGTCTCATCACTCTATTTATTCACGACTTTCCTTCTTCCCAAATGTTAATAAGTCATCAACATTCTATTCATCTACAACGCCCTTTTATACTCACTGTCCCCATACCTTCACTTCTACTAAACTACACCTTCATCAAACAACCAGAAAAAAAGCTCGGCATATTATTCTCAACTCGTCATCGTGGCGTCCTCCCAAGAATCAAGATTTGTAAGTTTACCTCCACACGAAGACGTACAAGTCATCGTAACATACAAAACACTCCGTGATCCCTTTAGCGTCATTCAGCAAGTCCAGCTTCTTCGTATACAAATCTTCGACGCTGCCGGTTGTGAAATCTTCTACCATCAAGAGCTCACAGCACTAGCCGACACTTCAAGTGGTTGGAATACATATCACGGTCGAGATCCAGGACCACCACCTCCGCCATACCCACCTCAACAACCTTTTCAATCCCAGCAGCAGCGAGCTCATCAACCTATCATCACACAGGCGCCCGTTATTTATCCTTCCAGTCTAAGAAGACCATAAATGTCCGGCGTACCATACAATACCTATCACGGTCAGGATTCCGGTCCGCCTCCACCCTACACCGGCATAGCATTCCCAATGGGTTACGCATCACCGCCATACGGGTACGCCGACCCTTATTCTAATGCAAGCTATGGACCACCAGGTTTCGTAGCTCCTCAGTATCACTTCCCCGGTACCTATCCAGCACCCCCTCCCGCCGATAAAAGCGGTATGCCTGGCGTCCACGTCCAAAACCAATTCGGCGGCATCGGTCTTCCCCCAGGCTACAACTACCTCTTCCCCACCACCCACTGTCTCGTCCACGTATTCGTAACGGGCTCAACACCCCCTTGGCAAGCAAACTCCCCGCTGCATACTTACGATGGAACCAATCATCGAAAATTCTTTATTCCGGCTACTATGACGGTTAAGGAAATGATGCAGCAGCTGGGTTGTAGTAATGAGGATGCGGATAAGAATGTAATGACGGAAGTTCAGGAAGTGGGGAATGGGAAGTGGACAAAGGGGATGGTTTTTAAGGGCGGGAATAAGGATAGGATGAAGATGACTTTGAAGGATTTGGGGTGGGATACGGGGAGGAAGAGGACGGGGTTGCCCGGGCAGTCGCCTTTGATTTGGGTTTATATTACGGGGGATTAGGAGGTTTTTGGAGAGTTTTTGTTTGAGTGGGGAAGGGAGGGGAAAGGATGGGTGGTACATGATGGTACAGGATATTTGAGATGTGCGAATTGTGGTTGCGAATGGTTCTTACCGTTTCGAGGAGTTTAGTTACGACAGAGTGTGGGTTCCCAATATCTATATTGTTTTTCATGAGGATTTATCTAGTTTATTCGATTTTCAAACGTTGGGTTTATCATATGGGATATGTTCATTGCAGGCAATGCGAGGTTTCTATAGCTTCATTCGTCAAATAGCTATGAGTGGTCTAACTACAATAATGAAATTCCATATTAAGAAAGTACATATTTCATGATCTTACACCCAGGTTTCTTGGCTCTTTGGCTCTATTCTTCTTTCTTTGCGTCAAACCTGTATTATGTTCTATTCACCAGTACTCAGCCCTTTCTACATTCGCTCTGATTCAATTCGCCAAACGGATCATAGATGTGAATGAATCATTATTATTATAGTTATAATTACCATAGTATGTACAGTATGAGTAATTCTAAAAATACGATATCCCATCCACCAAGGACACTCGAATACAGAATTTTATCACTTCATCGACCCTCAAGCGTAGACAGCGGAAATAATATAGCATAGTATTTAAAGTCTATCACTTCTAGGTATTACATACATAGAACTAATGAGATCTACCGAACTTCGAGATATGTATAACTTTTAGTCTCGCTTTATACGCTCGTTTTCCCCTTCGCTTATTACTTATTCATCGATTATTTGGAAATGGGTTTGAGTGATCTAGAGATTTTATTGGAGTCTGCTGGTGAGCGCTTGTTTGGGGGTTTTGGTTGATTTTTTGATATTATGATGTATATGTAGATGATGAGATGCCTAGCAAAAAACATGATGATGCTTGCTGTTCATTTATTGTTTGTTTAATATTGAATTGATCTTCTCGTGATGCATGATGCTATTTCATCATTGTTGATCGATTCGGAATGGATGTTTTTAGTAAGTCTGATCTTAAAATATATGACAAACTGCTGCAAGACTTGTCATCCAACTCCATAGTGTTTGAGTATTCGACGCGTGCACTGTGCAAAGCTTGAGATGATTGATGCATTACAGTTATGAAGGAAAGTACAAACTCAAGAGGAGCCAAGGACTTTTACCACTTTGACGTTTTACTACTATTCATCTGTCGATGAATTACAAAAGGTTAAAGCTTGTAGATAAGAACAGAGCATAGCCAAAGTACTTTTTAGGAAGGTACATGCGAAACACAGAGTCTAAAGGTTCCACAAAAACGACGGATGATTGGAAACAATCAATATCGTCGTCGACAACCAAACCCTACCTGGTATTTATTACTCACAACTCTCTATCGTGTTACAGCTAAGATTCTTATGACAAGCAAACATCAAGTAAATGTTTGTCAAGCAACGTATCTTCATCAGAAATCGATGCTTGAGATCAGAGAGTTAACCTATCGCTGCTATGCATCGCCATCTAAACCCCGCGCGTTGCTCTATTCGGAATGTCCATGCGATGATAAAAACCAATAGGTGGGGTACAGACATGAAATATATGCAACTTCTAATAGGAGCCACGATAAGATTATGGCATTTTTCCAGAGAAAGTGTCCAATAGATTGTGATGGAAAGTTATCGTGCAATAGTCTTTCATAATTGAAATACTTAGATCTTGGCTCAGGATTTGGTAGTGATAAATCTTACATATATTGAGAGGTTCCTTCGTCTATCATTCGTTTGCCATCTTTTTCTTTCCTCTGTACTGTTTCCCTCCCAGATTCTGTTGGATTCAAACATCCGCTTTCACACAATATGTCTACAGAACAAGCCCCGGTTTCCCTCCCATTCGTGGGTGCAAAGAAAACTACTCTGGAGCATCCTCTGGGTCCATTGACTGCTTCCGAAATCCTACAGAGTTCACAGATCCTCAAGGGATTATGGCCCGCTGAGGTGAAAATTCAATTCAAGTCCATTACTCTTCAAGAACCAAATAAGGCGGAATTATTTCCGTTTCTCACTGCTGAGCATTCGGGATCTGCTCTTCCAAAGATTGACAGAAGAAGTTTTGTGGTTTACTATATTAAGAATACCGTGAGTTTGATCAATTGGCTTTTGCTCCATATTTACCTATTTGCTCGAGTGGCAAATTTCGAATTTCCTCAGTGGTAGATGTTAACATGTCTTGCAGGATAAATTACATGAAGCTATCATCAATCTGTCTACTGGACAAGTAGAGAGTAATGTCAGACTTGGCCCAAACGTCCACAGTAATGCCGATGGAGAAGAAATCATCGCAGTGGAATTAGCTGCCCTGGCGGATGAAGGAGTGAAGGCCGAGATTGCAAAGCTTCAACTACCAGAGGGCACCGTCGTTGTTTGTGACCCATGGATTTATGGTGAGTTTGCTTCATACTTCGGAAATGGTAGTTATACTGACGATTCCAGGTTCCGATGGAATCAATGATGGCCTTTTCACCGATGATAAGCGCTTCTATCAATGTTTCCTCTATGTTCGGGACCCAAAGAACCCCAACGAAGCTGATAGCAACCACTATGCTATGCCACTTACTATTTCTCCAGTCATCAGTGCAGAGACTATGAAAGTTACCCGTATCGATTATATGCCAACTGGAGCCGATCACACAACCAAGGAACCATCTCCATACAAAGTCCAACCTGCCAATGAATATATTCCCGAAGCACAAGATCTCCGAAAAGATCTCAAGCCATTGAATGTTATTCAACCAGAAGGTGCTTCGTTTAAAGTATCCCAATTCAGCGAACAAGGACATACTGTCGCGTGGCAAAAATGGACCTTCAAGGTTGGATTCAACCAGAGAGAAGGCATGGTTCTTTATGATGTTCACTATGATGGACGCTCTCTCTTCTACAGATTATCTCTTTCAGATATGAACATTCCATATGCCGATCCTCGTAACCCATTCCACAGAAAGGCTGCCTTCGATCTTGGTGATGCAGGTGCTGGTATCATGGCAAACAACCTCCAACTCGGATGTGATTGTCTGGGCTCAATCCATTACCTCTCCGCCGTTCTCAATGATGAAAAAGGAGAAGTTCTCGAAATGCCAAACGTAGTCTGTATTCATGAGCAAGATAACGGTATCGGATGGAAACACACCAACTACAGAACTGGTCGTGCAGCTGTCGTCCGTAACAGAGAACTCGTTCTTCAATCTATCATCACAGTCGCGAACTACGAATATATCCTCGCTTTCCAATTTAACCAAGCTGGAGAAGTCATGTATGAGGTTCGAGCCACCGGTATTCTTTCAACCCAACCCATTGACGAAGGTCTTACCGTTCCATGGGGAACCGTCGTTCACCCCGGTGTTCTCGCTTCTCACCATCAACACATCTTCTCTCTTCGTGTAGACCCTATGATTGATGGTCCACTCAACAGCGTCGTCTACGACGAAGCACACCCCATGCCCCGCAGCGATTTCAACCCCCACGGAGTTGGCTATACCGTAGACAGCACTCCCATCACCACCTCCGGCGGATACGATCTCAACTATGACGTAAACCGCACCTTTAAGATCCAAAATTCCTCAGTCAAAAACCCCATTAACGGGAAACCCGTCGCCTATAAAATCCACGCTCCTCCTTTCCAAAAAATGCTTGCAGACAAAGATTCCTTCCATTTCAAGCGTGCCGAATTCGCCGATCACAATATCTACGTTACTTCTTACCGCGAAAACGAACTCTACGCCGGAGGCAAATACACAAACCAATCTCGAGGTGGAACTGGTGTACGTTCTTTCGCTGCTCGAAAGGATAACGTACAAGATGATGATATTGTCGTCTGGGTTCAATTTGGTATTAACCACGTACCAAGAATTGAAGATTTCCCAGTTATGCCAGTTGAAATTATCAAGGTCGCTTTGAAACCGGTCAATTTCTTTACCAAAAATCCAGCCATTGATGTACCTCCTTCAGAACAAAGTTTCAATAAGAGTGTCTTGGCAAAGGATAGCGCTGCTCAACATCATCAAGAAATTGGTGCGGCTGTGATCGGAACAAATGGAGGTGTATGTTGTGTTAAGGAGGGAAGTAAATTGTAAACACATCAATTTACGAGTTTTTGGGTAGGGAGTATACGAGTGTGAAGATACGAAGTCTACGAATAAAATGATGTGATATGACGAGAGAAGTAGTTTGATTCTACATATTCATCATCATAATCACAATACGGCGTTTGGAATCATGGGAATTTTTCATCGTATTTGGCTATTAATTGTATGTATGCGAAAAAAGGCGTTGGCTTAGGTTGAGCTAGGTTGGGTTAGGAATCATGGAAATACCAGGAGAATGGCTAGCTACCTATTTACTATTTACTATCTATTCGTGGATCGGAATCGGACGGATGGTATCTTTTTTTCTCGGTAGCTGAAAGTCATGTAGAAATATATACTTAGTATTGTACTCCAAAAAAATTCTGGGTTTGCTGGTTTATAGTGAGTAGATACTTGAGTGAGTGAGTGAATAATTGAAAAGTTATCTTTCTCTTCCTCTCCATCTTCTCGATCTCTACCCCTCTCTCTAACCCCTTCTCTAACCCCTTCTATCCCCCTCTATCTTTCCAATCTATATAACACACTTATTAATAAATATCGACACCTCATATATACAAGATATATTTATTTATAAAATAATTTAAAATATCTCTCTCTCTCTCTCTATATATGTAACTACCCACCCTTATTTACCAAATCATCAAAATCTATAATACATACATACATGCACACCACCAACTAATCCTCAAACCCTCAAACTATACATATAAAACTTTTAATTTACCATCATCCTAATGATTGATTGATTGAATAATCCTTTTTATGAAAGTCTTGATATACATACACCAACAGACAGACAGACAGCCGCGTATGAACCTAAGATCTCAAGTTTCCTTCACTGAATTATACACACATACATACATATTCCGTACCACCCACCCGCCCATGACAGCCATGTCATGTCATTCATCTATGTATGCAACCAACAAAATCCGTCCCACACGATCCATCCATCCATTTTACAATCAATTAAAGATATACGCCCGTAGTACCCAAGCCAAGTCCCTTTTACACATATTCCGTACCGTTCCATTGCGATCGCATAAAAATCATATCTTCCCCTTCCGCCCTGCCCCACCCCCAAACCCAAGCTTGTTTTTACAATTCATTCAAAAATCCTCCTGATTGAGCGAACCTCGTTTGGTATTCTCTGAGATCAGCCCAATTGCTTAATTCTTCTTCTTCATCAACCACACCATCGGCACTTTCACTCCTAGCACCACTAGGGCTAGCTCTCTCGAGCTTCATTAAGATATCGAGGAATTTGCCTAGGTACTCCTCAGCACGTAATGCGAAAGGTCCTTTGCGGTTTTGAGGGGTATCGACCAAGGTAGAAGCTATTTGACGGATTTTGTTGACCTATAATAATGATTATTAGTAAAACCGAATGTAAAATTATTGGAAAAAGGTGAGAAGGGGAGACGAACAAAGCTGCCACCATTTGGCTCCATATTAACTTGTTGAAGACAACTCAGCGCCCTTAGCAAATCCTTCACAATACTTTCTCTTTCATTCATAACAACAGACTCCATCGATTCTTCTGTTGCTGATTGTGGTAGCACTGCATCTAAACCAGTTGCCATAAGACCCGGAGATCCTAGTTTGGGTTCCTCAGAACCACCCGATTTAGCTTTAAGCTGTTCGTGGGCGTCTTCAAGGCTCCAATATTTCTCCACGATATATGACCTGGTGGCTAACTGACTGGCGTAAATATTGGATTTCATAATTTCGTATTGTCTTTTTCTTTTCTCATCTACTGGGATTTCGTTCCAGGATCGTCCTTCAAGTCCACCCGAACGAGCACCTGGAAAATTTTCCAAAGGTGGATAGTAGGCTTCGTCTCGTTGACCAAACTCACCTGATTCTGAGTTTGGTAGAAGCATCAACTCATTTGGTAACTGATCCAGAACATGCTTTGCAGCACCGAGACATTGTGAGAGTACTCTTTTTTGACGTTTAAAGTCAAAGACTTGATCGATACCATATGCCACTTCCATTGTTGCGAGAGGTGTACATGTCATATAGATCTTGATACCCATATTGAATCCGGTGATGCTTGATAGGACACCTTCGGGCTGTGGTTGGATATGATCTAGAAAGATGTACTCATCATCGACTTCCACTGGAAGTGGAGGATATGGTTCATTTGGAGTAGGTGGTGGAATTAAAAGTTCACCAAAAGTGGCACCTAATTGTTGCATTGATCTAATTTATTAGTGGAATACTTTTAGAAAGAGGACAGAAATCACTTACCGAATACCAACGAACATAACCCAAAATAGTCTTCTACCCATCTCCTGACGAATATAATCAATAGGTTCGGGTTGATCAACATACTGAGGGCTTTCTGCACCAAACGTAGCAGGAAGATGACCCATAGTCGTCACCATACCTGCATTCTTGGTTCTATGCGCTCCCAACATCCTTATGATGTTCAAGGTCTCTCCAAAATACAAACGACATTGTCTCCAATTGAATGTATATGCGCCTGACAATCCTAAGAAATAACTTGTAGCTGCATCGTACACCGAAAGGTTTTTATCGAGGTAACCAGGTCCCCTAGCTTCAACTGCCACCTTGTGACATCTTTCAACCAAGGCGAGTGAGTTTGGAAATAGATGTTCTCGGTGTTGAGATTTTAAGTGTAGCCTGGGCTTTCTAGGAAATGATGCTACCAATATCCCAACCATGGACGCCAACAATGCGAGAAATGATGGATTTTGTAAATCTTCTCTATTTTTGAGTGCCGCTCGGAAGGAAGGCTCATGTGGGAAAGGTGCAAGTGGATGTATGTAAGTGAAGAAGTCATCGATGAAAAGCTCGAGAGTAGGGAAAGGCAATATCGATTCAGCAGAGAGAACTGCATGTGAAGAAAATGATGCTAGAGTCGCGGCAACATTGCTTGGTGATGTCGGAGAGGAATAAGGTCCACCACCTGGAGATTCGAGTCTTCTCTTTTTTATAGCTTCCGCATGTCGATTTGGTGGACCTCTTCGACGACTTGGTCTTTCGAATGTACATGGAATGTCTAATGCTGCACATGCTCGACATGGAGGACCCGATTCATCACACTATCGAGAAAATTAATTGTTAGCATTTACCCCGCAATCGAAGCTTTGGAAGGAAATTCCACAATCTCCACTCACCTTAACTTTTCGGATGCTGCATGAGTCGCATGCTTTCCTTAATCTATTTCCCTTTGGAGCTTCTCCGGTTCCATTCATAGATGTTGGTGTTCCAGTTTGAACGGGTAAACCATTGTGATCGTTGTTCATGCCATCATTGTATTGTGGCATTGGTGGGGGCATTTGCGGCGATTGCTGACCTTGTGGAGCTCCCATTGATTGAGGATCATATTGAAATGATGGTGCGACAGATATGCCGAGTTGTTGCTGGTGCTGGTGCTGATGCTGGTGTTGATGTTGAATCTGCTGATTATGGGACATCAACGGATCATTTGGTGATGGGATTGATGATGGGCCGTGCAAAGGCAAGGGATTGTAGCCATTATTATTGTTGTTGTGACCATTCGGTGCTGGGTAGCCGGACATCTTGCCAATAGAAATCCCTGAATGATTTTTTTTATGTCTGGTCGGAGAGGATGTATACCGGTGCAAGTCCGGTTGAACTGGGGGAGACTGGAAGGGAGAGTGGATTTTCTCTTGGGTGTTTCGATCTTTTCTTTAATTTTTTTTTTCCAACGGTATGGAGATGGAGTTTGGTTGACTTTTCTTTTCGGATCGAGGTTTAGACGTGACAATGGGTGAATTTAGCACCGGCCGGTAGTTGTAGAGAATGGAGAATGGAGACTGGAGAATTGAATGATAAACGATAAATAGGTTGAACCCCTCTTCGAAAGCGCGTTTTAAAAATTATATTAGAAAATATACTTCTTTCTTTCCTTCTTCCCTATCAGAGCGGAAACCAATTGAATAGAGAGCAAGTTTGTTTGAAAGGCCAAGTTGTACCGGTATATGTACCTGGGTCGTAGGTATAAGATTAAAGTTCAAGAGTCTTTTTTGTACTGTGCAAGCAACTGAATTGGATCTTGGGATTCTTCGACGTTGAATATATCGGGGGGATGAGGGACAAATACTCACATCCCTACAGGGTTATTACAGATGTACACCCTTGTCACTTTGAGGGAGGGCTTGACGTTTTTGGGGACGGGAGAAAGTAAAGTGATGAGAAATGGAAATCCTTGAGATGATCAATTGGGACAAGTTGGGATCGGTCGAATATGGATATATGGATGGTAGAGGACGGGGTCGGGGGGTTCGAGGGGGTCCAGGCTTGTGAATGGTTCCTTTGGGAAGGACTGTGGGAATTGTACTTGTGCGTCTTGATGGCAGTGATAATGGGAGAGTGAGAGAATGAGAGGCGATCCCTGATTAGATGGTGATACAAGGGCAGTACGGTACTCTTTTTGATCTGAGGTTTTGACAGAACTTTATTATACTTTGCACCATGTGGGATATTGATATTGGAGCTTGATTTCTTGATTTCTTGGTCGAGGCTGTTTTGTCCTATACTTTGTCTACTGGTATGTGATGAAACTCGCGAGAGACTCGAAAGTGTCAGGACTGCTAAGAAGTAATAATTGACTTGACAAGATAACCTAGTGAAAACAAGTCAATTGTCCGCATCTTCACTGTGAGCACCATAGATTGCAGACGATATACTCAGATCGATCAATCGTCTTCTCTCGAGTCGAACAATACACGTAGTAGCAGCAATTACATTTATGTATCAGGACGGTATTTATTTGTATAGCTGTTGTGAGACTTAATCATTAACCGACGAGGATCCTTCTAGAGTAGCAAGTAGCGAGTATTTCTATCGAGGATATCAAGCATCTCGTCATACATGCCTACGTATTGAGCAGTTATCAAAGTTCAAAGTGTCCGTTATTAATGCTAGTTTTAATAAGATGGACCCTTTGTTTCTATTACTAGCCTTATTGATATCTCTCTCATACATATGAAAAACTTAGTTATATGCATCACACAGAACGGTCGAAGTCCATACCTCATTCAGTAAGAGATCATTGAGGACCTGACTTATGCATTGACGCACCGCCATTTCGAAGATTTTTTAGGCGGGGACGGCGGCTTCTAGAAAACCGTTAAGTTCATTCTATTTCTAATTATGTGTGTGTGTTATCACTGTTGTGTGCATTCTTGCTCGAATAGGGTATGCATGTCAGATATCCGGCGGAGAGTTCTGCTTTTCCGGTAGCTAGCGACAGCCAGCGACAGCAGGTCTTTTAGCATTGAGATTCAGAGATTAGGCTGATATTTGATGGTAATGAGTCGTGACCTTTCTTTTGAGGTCAAAATGGGTCAGATATCTCGACCCTGGTAGAAAGTACCGAGAGCAAAAAAGGAGCCAGACACTTGTTAGGCAAAGCGCCTTACCGGTACTCCGATGCAGGAGACTTTTGTACCAGTAGAAATACCACAAATGCCACCTGCATGTTAATTCTCCATAGTGGGAATCTTTGCTTAGTAGTGCACAATTTCATGATACTATCCCACAATTCGGATTCTCACGCTTAGGGTGGGAGATTGAATGTCTGAGAGTACCGTGTGAGTGTATGCTGAATGCTGTTAGTCTTTATGGATCTGAGGGGCGGTTGAAGTTGTTTGGGTAGTTGTTCAAAGATCTCCGTATAATTTGAACACTGGGACGTACGTTGTACGTACGGGACTACAAAATAGATCTACGGAGGATAAAACTCGATTAATTAATTTGTTCAACCTCCTCCAATTTGGGGTCCAGTCTTTTCGACAGTCTAGCATGGGATATCTCGGTATCTGCCTTCATTCGCTGCATTAGTTCATCAATTCATCATTCAGTCAAAAGTGGATGATGAAATGTGATATTGTGTGCACTCCATAGGGTTGCACTTACGTTTTCGTGCATTATCTCACACCTCATATCTCATACCTCATGCCTCATAAAAATTTAGAGTTTTTTCTCCTACATGCAGCTACCCAGGTAATTTCTACGGTCAGGGCGGGTGAACAACCACGCAAACCTATTACTCACGTATTACTTCGTACTTCACTTACTCGCTTGCCGCAATTCAACACAAGTAGAGCGACCTCGGCACCTCACCACCTCGACATCTTATCTTGACATCTCATACACCTTCTTCAACTTCATGCCGTACAGCAACAAAATGTACGTCAACAAATAGACTTTATCTGACGAGTCATGAACCCGCATCCCAAATTGGTCGCACAATGCCGAAACATGTCCATATCTAAGATTACATCCCAGATCTATCCCATCAATAAAAGCTTCATTCAAAGGTTGACCACTTCCGAAATCCCCCATTTCATCCACCAATTATCATACCTAGCATGATGCTCTCCCGTTGACAGGTCTCCATAACTCATTTCAACAAACTTTGTCACTAATAATGGTCTGTAACGAGCTGAAGAAACACTGGGCGTTGGATATTACCAGTTAAGGTTCGACGCTTTACTCCATATCCTGCTTGGAATATCATCTCATATATCACCAGTTTGTGAGATTGCGTTTGATCTTGACCGCTAAATGATTTCGGCGTCATGGAAGCGACTTGAAGGACGAAAAGGGACCCCCTCGCATTGTACGCTACGCTTCTTAAAGTTTACACACTTTTATAGACACTGTGTGATTGGGTTCCATCGTACAACAAGGGAGAAATCACAAAGTTTAATCTACAGCTGCATAAGCTTTTCCCTGAGAGGGGTCTAAGCAACGATCTGTCCAGGTACCTAAGCACACGTTTCGACTGAGAAGAAGGGAAGCAAGATCGTATGATGGGTCTTCCCGTCCACAAAAGCCTCCACTTTTGAATCATTTCAGAAATTCAATGACATGTCTCAAACTTCCAACATCACCCCGCCGCCCCGCCATTCATCTCTCTCCAGAATCCCAAGTATCTATCGAATCAAAATTTTTAGCTACCGCGACTACCGTATGGCGTACGAAGTGTATACGAGACTACGAGAGACGATGGAATTGGTGATATTTTTAAACAGATGACGGGTGAAGGATTATGCGGTGCCCATCAATTATCCCTGTCGTCCGCCACTCATAGGGCTAGAGTACTTTGAACAAGCGCAGAGACAACAAGATTAATTGGGGACTCACAGCTTTTACAATGCATGCATGACAATCTACTTTCTAGAAGGATGAAAGAAGCAGATGTGCGGAGTAATAGAGTCACGGAGAGCATTCCTCCGTTTCGATTTGATAACGCAAAGCCACGACCCAGCAAATTCCAAGCAAGATATTTGCCAGCATTATGCTAGATTTTCTGCTGAGAACAAGAGCACCAAGTTGCCAAAATGTCATCGTCCACATTATTCCGAGTGTTCGGTGACTTCGCAAGCTTCCAAGTTGCATACGGGCAGGCTAAGCCTTACTTACCAGGTACTTTTTAAGTATGGACATGATCTCGTGGGTTGAAGCTTGTAATTAACCTTGGCAGATGTGAAGACTTTATAAAGATTTTCAAAGACAGGCAAATGCCTGCAGATGCAGAGACATGCCTGTCTCAACAGCGCTCCAGCCACCCACCTATCGAAAGTCACACAACGTTGCGTCCCCGGAAGAGCTTTACTATGGCAATTTGAAGTTTTGCAGTTACCCTTTCTCCATATGAACTGTTGCTAAGTAATTTTCCCAGGCTAGGGTTCTGGAATAGAGTTGTAGGTACGTTCCTGGATTCACTTAAGGTTTATTTCCTCGATTTAATTTGCCCTGATGATCGTTGATTATGGCCGTTAAACGGTCATACCCATGACTAGTGAGTTAGTGAGTTTACTGAGCAATAATCGGCGACCTACCATCACTTTTATGAAAGGAAATAGAATGGACCCTGGACTTATGATACAATGCTGACTGAAATGTCGACTAGTGCAGTACTAGTTATGCTTATGTAGCTAACTAGCTCAAGTGCATGCTTGTCATGCGGCCAATGTGTCAATACCCTTTCACGACTCCACTTCTTCAGATCAACCTTTTCGAGATCAACCTCGAAGGTTTATTTATTATTCCTTTTAAGTTCACCTCTGCGGCTCCACCCTTACAAGTACAGCGAGTCACGTGCCGCTCCCTCGGTCATATTATGGAGCTCCCTCTTCGGAGTAGCACCGAGATATTTCGGTCATCCCTCAATTGGATCCCCCCGCCTTACCAAGTTGATGCAGATGCAATAGGGAAATCCCATTTTGGGATCTGAACGGCTTCCACATCTATGGATTGGGCTTAGTCTTGATGTAGGTTGAAAGCTTTTTTCTACTTGGGTGTTTTTGTGTGATTCATTCATTCACTTATCGGTGAGTAGTCGCTGTAGTAGTTCTTTTGAATTCCTTCAAGTTATTATATACATGTTATTTTTTACTGTATTTCAGCAACAACTCTCGGGGCTTATTAATACGGTTAGATGTTTATAAATAAAAAATATTATTTTTTTATCTTTTGAACTTTTTTAATATTTAATTTATGTTATTTATATTATTACTGATATCAAATTAAATTATATATTAAAACCCTTAAAAAGATTAAATAATTCTCTTTTAATTTCAATCTTAAGAACTTTGAATAATAAAAAAAGATTTAAAAATAATAAATTTAAAAATCAATAGTTTATTAATATAATAAAGTAAATAGATAATAAAAACCTCAACCTAACTCGACTTAACTCTAGAGCGAAGAAAAAAATCAAAAATCAAAATCAAAATCTTTGTTTATCATAATTCATAATGAATTAGATACTTCATCATCTCGTGTGGCTTAGATTGCTTAGATGGCCTAGAGGATTTAGAGGATTTAGATCAGATGGCTGAAATAGATAGATGGCTGAGAAAATGAGGCTGGTACGAATTTACCTAGTAGGTTTCGTAGGTTCTCTTCAAAAGTTCACATCTATCTTCACGTCCAGAAGAGGAAGGTTTAATCTTAGTGAATATGTATGTACGGTGGTATATATGTATGTGTATGTAGAGTATATATGTACGGAGCTATATGTATCTCCGTTTGTATATGAATTGAACTTGACGAGCCGGGGTATTGAAATGTACTCCGTAGAATTGGAATTTAGAATTTTAGAGGGATTTTTAGTTTTAGTTTTTGTTCTTGTACTTGTTCTGATTAAGTTTAGTTAAGGTAAGTTATGAAAAGGGAAGGGAAGGGAAGTTTGATTTGGTTAAGTTAGGTTTAGTTTATTTAAGCTCCCGGGGATATCCGATGATATATTAGGTGAGGTTAGGTCAGGTTAGGTTCGGATTTGAAGTTGAGGTTATTTTTATTTTTATTTTTTTTGGGGAGTTTGGGTTTGGAGGTTGGAGATTGGTCATGGAAGATAGGTAGATAGATGGACCGTGGGTGGGCACTGGGTAGGTAATAGATTATAAAGTTTATTATATTACTATAGGTATTGTGTTGTATAGTATAGTAGGTAGGTAGATAATAAGATTTTATAATATAACCGCATAAATGACATATGACGACATACACACATCCATCACACATCACACAATCAATACCCCAGGGGCCAAGCAAGTAACCTTCCACACCTCCCTCACATCTTCACGCCCCAAACCCTCGACCGCGCCCGTCTAGCCAAAAACAAAAACCCCGCCCCAACGCACAAATCCGCCGCCGCAAAAACCTGCGCATACTCATATTTTCCCCCCATCCTCTGCACCAACACCCCTCCAATCGGCGGCCCCGTCAAAACTGCAAAACTAACCACCGTAAAAACCATTCCCATCCTCACTCCCGCTTTCCTCATATCCGTCGTAAGACTACTTAAAGTAGCTGGAAAGAGGCCTTGAATGCCCGCTGCAAAAATCCCATACATGATTGCCCATACATAGAGACCTGTTCGGGAGGAAACGGCTATCCAGGAGAAACAGAGGAGACTGTTGATGAGGGTTATAGGGAGGAGGGTGTTTAGTGGACCGAATAAGCGATCGGCGAGGTGGTTGGGGAGGATTCGTCCGATTATTCCGACGGCGTTGAGGATGATTATTATGGTTATTGATTCTGGGAGGGGGAGACCGATGATGTTTCGCGCGTAGGCGCCTAGATAGTAGAAGGCGAAGTAGAGACCCCAGAAATTCTAGTTTGTGGTGGGTTTAGTTTGTGTTTTGTTGATAGTACGTATATAGGGTATTGATAGCAATACGAATTGCTAGGTAGGTGACTTACGAAAAACATCCCAGCCGCAAATAACATGTAGGGAATATCTTTGAACGATGCATAATCTATTAATGCACCGCTCTTTCTAGGAGGAACCCGTTGTCTAATACCCAGATTACAAACTCCTAGACACACTAATTGAATAAGACCCAGAGATCTCATCGTCCATCCATATCCAATGCGCGGTAGCAACTGCTGGACCATAATAGGAAAAATGACACCACCGGTCGCGCTTCCCGCGGCGGCAATCCCAATCACCAAACTCTTCTTCGTACTAAAATACGTACTTAAGGTTGCCAGAGCCGGACAAAATAAACAGCCATTCCCGAGACCCATGCAGATTCCCTGGGCGAGAAAGACTTGCCAGTAGGTTGTGGAGATGGATGTCATGAAGATTCCTACGAGTCCGATGATGGTACCCACGAGGAATACGGAGCGGAAATATCCGGCGTCGGTGAGGCGGCCGGTGAAGGTTCCGATGAAGAAGAGGAGGAAGATTTGGATGGAGCCGATCCAGGAGATGGAGCTGGCGGGTCGTTGGAGTGTGCTTACGTAGTAGGTTTGGAAGACGCCGAAGGAGTTTATGAAGCCCCTGGTGTTTGTTAGGTGGGTTTGGGAGGTAGTGTTTGGATTTTGGGTGTGGGGGAGGGGGTTGAGGGGGTTACTAACCATGTGTTCATGATGACCAAATGGCTGAGGATCACTGGATGTTATGAAGTTAGTGATGTGCTAATGATTTCTAGCAGTGAACCAGAGTTATTTCTTTTTGGCATCTGGCCCAATCCTTTTTATATATGAATATATTTGTGTTTATTATAATTTTTTATCTTTCTTCACTTCCTTTTTCTTCTTGCATCCATATTCCCATTTGTACTTTACTTGTACTTGTACTTGCACTTACAAGTCTTTAGAAAAACACACTTAGAATATCTGAGCACTTCCACCAAAAGCCCAAAGAATCCTAGCCTAGTCTCTCATCTCTCTTCTTCCTCCTCCCCTCATCACACCACCCTCGCTTCCTCAAACACCTCTCCCTTACCCCGCACACATACAAACCCCCCCAAAAGGACCAAAGAAATCACAAAAACACACCTTGAGTCCAAGCCCTTAAACCCCCATCAGGAGGCGGTCCTAACGCCCTCCAACTCGCCGTCGTCACCTGAGTTCCATTGGTTCTTGTTCTGTGGGCTAGAGTTTCTTCAATTACTGTTTCTTTTTCTTCAATGCTGGTTGTTAGGTCTGGATATGCATATGCGTATGTGTATGCATCTGGATTGGAGGGGTTTGGAGAGATTTCGATGGTTTTGTGGTTTGAGGAGGTGGAGAGGGAGGGGGAGTGGGAGATACTGGGGGTGTTGGATGTGGATGTGGATGTGGATTTGGTAGTGGGGATAAAATTGGAGGTTTGAGTTTGGGGTTGAGGATAGGGATGGGAATTGGGATTGGAGTTGGGTGTCGACATTTTGGCTTAAACTGCCAATTGAGTCCCATGTATATAGGGCTTTTATACTTTATCCCCAATGCAAATCCAAATCCAAGTTCGGCAAGGTAGAAGAAGAGATGTAATTCTTTTTCTACACATAAACAAAATACGAAATTTCCGAAATATTCAAAATATACACAAGAACTTCAAATCCCACAACCTTCAATCAAAGATATTGTTTCATTCATTTCAAAGATTGAGGAGTCATCGATAGGTAGATGGATAAGATAAGTGAATCCTCTGCTCCGAGAAAATCTGGAAATGATAAAAGAATTGTTCGTATTGGTTTGAAAAATATATGGATGTATGGATGTATGGAAGTAGAGCTTAGAAGGTGGGGTATGCGGCTATGACTCGAACTTTGGTTTTATTTCTTTTTTGGATGATGGATGGGATGGAGAGATGGGAGTTGATATTGTTGATAATTTAATAGTTTGGGGAACTGTAAGGAGATATGTTGAGATATTGAGATATTGAGATGGTGAAAAGAGAAGTTCTGAAAAGTTTAGAGAATGAGAGATAAAATATACAAAACGAATCCAAAAGATCTACAATTCTCCCTCCATTTGATGAATAGATTCATGATTCATGAAATGGGATCTAGAACGGGAATTGAATAGAAAATTGGACCTGTTTGGTTGTCGTTGGAGGAGAAGCTTATTCCCGGTGCAGTGCTGATTCGGATGTTGGGGCCGAGGGTGGGGTGTTGGGTTCGATATGAGGGGTTTAGTGAGGGGATGTTGAGGGACTGGGGTTTGGATGTTGTTTAGGTTGAGGATATATATATAAAATAGCGATTTTCAACAGCTTGTTAGTAGTAAAGGATAGAATAGGCATGGTAATATATATACATGTGTGTGTGTACTTGAAGGAGAGTCGAGGAGGAGTTCGAAAGGAGAGATATGGCGAGTCTAATATCCAATATGGATATTCAGACTTTTGTCCATCTATTGTATCAAGACAAGATTTTCTAGATTTACTCGAGTCAGGTTATATATCCGGTAAATATGTGTACTTAATTGGTGCTGCATATTATGAAAATCATGTACAAAATATAGCAAAGAATGAATGATATAAGAAATGAGAGAGTACCTAAGTTAGATATTCCAATACTTACCTAATCATTTGATAGAAAAGAAACCTCCTTTCCTTCTACTCTCAAGTAACCTTACTACGAATTTAATGACTGATGACAACTCCTTCCCCCCATCAAAACGCGGGGTTCTAACCCCGCTATCATTCATGCCATGACATATTAGGTAAATTATAACAACATAGGTACTCCATAGTTTGTCTGGCAAAGCTGGTGGACTTTGAATACCGAATTCGATCTAATTATCAAGTATTGTATCAAATGTTGCATCAAGCAAATTAAGCAATTAATAAGTATCTAAGCTAGATACACAAAAGCAAAGCAAATCAAAACATAAACCTAAACCAAAAAAAACTCGCTGCTTTCTCTACCAGGCATAAGATAATATATCAAATCAGATGATTTAGGTGACCGCCTGGACGAGATTCGAGATTCGAGATTCCAGAATGTCAATATACCAAGATGGCAGGGTGCTGGGTAAATGATATTTACTAGGAAGAAAATAGACGGGGTTGCCGATGTCGCTAGATGAGGTCGCTAGATGAGGTGAATAAAGAGGATTAAGTGGATGAGGTGGACGCTCGGTACCGATTGTAATTCTAAATGATGAGTGGAAAAGTGATCATCATTTGATCACAAATGAATAAAAAAGGCAGGTTTGCCGAGCTACTTTTTACTCCGTAGAAATCTAGGTTCATCAAGGATTAAGGGTTATATTATACTCTCCGGGGAGTTTTCTCATCAATAAATTTTAAATACGGAGTCGTTAGTTGTTAGTTCACGCGGGAATGTCACGCGCGGAGAATAAAAAGGTTTTTATTTTTTTATATTTTGGGTTTTTTCCTTTGATAATGGGATTATCCCTTTTGTGTTTATTATCAGGGTGTTAGGTACTAGGAACGAGGTATATACAGAGTACATGTATGTATGTGTATGCGAGGAAAAGAAAAACTTTCTTACCGAGATACCGAGATAATTTCCGATAGGATTCATTATTGTCTAGAACAGTTGAAGTTGAACTAATGTGCTTGATTGAGTAGTAGGCTAGCGATTGAGAGGGCAGGATTTACTTTTAGGAACTCTTGAATGTAAGGTTACTCTTTAGATGGGTATTGGATGATGCTTTTGCTATGGATGGGATGGGATGGTATGATATGGGATGGTATTACCTAATTGGTGTGTATGGATTTGTCTTCTATTAGAGATTATTTTCTCGGAAAAGATTCCGTGGAGATGGCATTTTTGAGGGTTGGGCTACTGTTGGTGAGTAGGTGAGTGGGCGGGTGGATGGGCAGATAGGTAGGTAGGTAATTTCTCTTCATGTTCGTTTTTATAAGATGGTGAAGAAGATATGATGGAGAGCAAAGGGGACAAACTGCTGCAATGACTAGTTGTGGCTGATCATTGTGGGTAGAAGAGGGAATGAAAGTGCTTTGGTAAGAGGTGGAAATATCATTGGGGATGGGTTCGGGGAAGAGAAGAGATCATGGTATGACATGATATTGTTGAACCGAGGTTTCTTGTGAGATACAGATCCGCCATAATGCTAAGTATATCTTTGCTCATATTCAGTCTATTTAATGTCCCATCAGTCAACTCAATTCTGACTATTTAATAGTATGTAAGGATCAGAACAGTTCTACGTGCATGTACATCATGTCCGTCTACAGTCCTCCGAAAGCTACACCCTAAAACACCCATCCTCTCATCTCGTCCTAATCCCAGCTCTTCAAATAGATGCTCCGCCCTTCCTCAACCTCACCACGCTGTCATCAAATTCAAAACATAAATGTTTGACATCAACACTCCCTTCCATCTCCACCATTTCCTCCGCAGCACCCTTCTCCAGCCCTCCACGACTTAAGTTCGTTTTCACCATTTCCTTATCCAGAGGAAGTGAGCCCATCGAATGAAACTTCATTAAAGCACCTAGTTGATAACAGCGCACTGCGGTAACTAGAACTGAGAAAGTGGTACTATGAGCGACGACGTTGCTCATGAATTATAAGATGCCCAAATGACACTTATTAATTTTATAAGCTCTGTGATGCTGTAGGATAGCATAAGCTTACCGAGTTGCACTAGTGCGTGTTTGTTGATCTCCTGCAGGTTACGTCGACGAAACTTGTTTGCTGCAGGGTGGCCATTACCATCGGCGTCTGCAATAGGGCAAATGTTGACTGACCTTAACGTTGCTCATTGCCACTACTTTGATGTCAACTGTAAAATGAAAGGAATAATGAAGTTGGTCGAACCTTAATGGGTTATCGGCAGAACTCTGAAATGTTTGAAAATGACTTACGCCAATTGAGGCTGAGCATTGAAATGTGATATTTTGTTAAAGATCCTAAATTGTCTGATCCAAAGTTCCAACTGCGATACATGAAGTGAGGGTTTGGTAAGTAGCTTACTCTCAGCATTCGCTAGATAATTTTGCTGTTCAAACTATGGGCGAGTGGGACCACGTAAAGCATTGGCACGATTCCAGTAGGAAGTAATATTTTCTGTTCCATGGCCTCTAACAATAATTGTGCTCCCACAAACTATTGGTGAAATCCTCATACGTGTCGAATCCACTTCTTATTAGTATCAAACTAGACGATTCGTCAATTTGAAGTATTCCAGTATCTTCAGTAGCCTGTTCATATTGATTAATGTTACCCGTCAAGAGTGCATAGAGCAACGAACCATGCAATGTAGGAGTCATGATTGATGTAGTGACATTGGTTAGATGAGGCGACGTCAATGGCGGTAGCATCCATTATCACAAACTCAGGTCATATGGTTTGAATATTGGCGGCTGCTTGATTGCAGTTTTCGGCATTGGACTTCACCTCTTGAGCCTTGTTGCCTGGTGAGCATGGGAAGATGCGACGTGAGATCTGCACCCGTAATTTTATCTTTGATCCGGAGTGGCCCAAAAAGTTGATCAGAGAGTACGGTAGTGCCAAGGGTTCAATTGCTATAAGAAAAGTTTGAATCATTAACAAGTGCGCAAATCGAAGAAAATATATTCTAAAGAACTATTTCAATAGGCAATGAATTGACTGTTCCTACAAGCAGACCCTAGGAATTGAAGTATATAGGGCATTATTGTGTTATAAGGAAACCAGGCGGAGTAGTTGTTGAAATTCGGTTTCTGGCCCCTTTGACTCCTAACATCCCATGGTCGGACCCCAATAAATTAAAGTGGTATGATGAATTTTCGGACGGTAGAATATAAGGAATAACTCCCATGCTTTCAGCTGCACACTCTGTAAGTCGGTCCACATCTTAAAACGTTGAATAGTAGTATCTCACCGAGCTCTGGCTTATTAGCGTTGGAACTTGTGTAGGTTGGGTTTCAATAGAAAAGCATGAAATAACAGATAAAGTGACCGATGGTGTAACAGCTGTTAGAGCCATCAGCCTGATAAAAACGAGGACAGTAGTGCCGAGGTTTTCCTGAGATTTCCTACCCAGAGAACAACGCCGAGAGTATGGCGAATATGGCATGACCAAGTACTTCAAAATTGAAGATATCAGTGTATAGACCTTAATGCACGGAGCTTGCCAGGCCCGTTAGGTAAGAATGAATGCTAAGCGTAAGCTACTCTATAGCGACAGCATATAGTGAGAAAATGGCATAGGCAAACACAGTGCCGTATCTGATAACCATTGCTGACGTGATGGCGACCCGGCTGCGTTCGTATCAAGGGGAACAAAATCCAAAGCGATGCCCAATGGCGAGAGCATTCACACAAAGTAAGTACTGCCATAAAGCAGGGAGATTTCCATGCTATTTTCATATACGTACTGGCGGGAATTATGAATGTTGCGGGAATCTGATGGATGAGAAGGCATTTCAACATCAGGAGAAGAGGGTCGCCCTGAACCTTGCCTCTCGATCGTCCTTTACGATATCCCACGGATACATTCATAATCACTTCTTGAGAATGTGCTTGTGCTTTCGTGTCCTTAAATCGTTCTGGGCTGGGTATCATGACTGCTTGCCATCATGTGTTTGGTCTATACTAGCATGGATCCTACTGTGTATACAAGAGTCTGGACAGTAAAACAGAATTGAGTGACCCAGATCAAAACGACATTTTGACACTGTTCGCCAAAGAATTTTGCAATCATCAAACAAACAAGATGTTGAGTTAAGATACAAGATTGAAATAATGGCGTGGAAAAAATGATTGGACATTTTGAAGTTTCTGATTGGTAAAGACCGATTGGCAGGACTCGAAGAGCCAATTTTAGAACTTGAAATGAAGAGGAGTGACTCGATAGTTGACCACATGAGAATTCCATTTGCGATGAATCAGCCTGAAGGGAGACCTTGCCCCAAGAAAGAAGGTATTTAGGAGCATCTTTAATTACACTTGTACAACAATGTAATGTTTCGTACCTCGCAAGAATAGAGCAATAGACTGCGAATAATCTTCAACTCCCGTGGTGAAATAACTGTTTTCTAGAGGCTGTATGAGATGAAGGTCGATCCATGATGTTTTAACTCCAAAAGATTTGGGTGTTGCCAGCTATTGATTAACATATCTTGATTTTTTGTAGAAAGATCAAACCTGTATTGATAATTCAAATTTGTTAGAAGAACAATTTATATCATCACCTTCATACAATTTAGGGAACATGAATAGGAATTTGACAAACTGAACTTGGAGGATGAAAGAAAATGTAGACAAGTAGAGGCGAAGAAACTGGGGTGGAGGTTTGTAGCCTGAGGCAATAAAATGATATAATTTGTTCGCTTACTAGCGCCCACACACTTGCTTGAATTCTAACTTAACATTTTTCGAACTTCCAAAGTCTCACCAAAGACATCGACAATCACGGCACTCTTTCAACGACAAGATGCCTACCCATTTGAGCAAAACCCGCAAGCAGTACGTTTTATTCCTCGAAGTCGCAATTCCTATCGATCAAATTACACACCGATTGAGCGCGCGCGCCCAGATCAATTCCCCACGAAGTTTTTGTTGATGGTGTATTGCACGGAGGATTGGAAAGAATTGAAGCTGACAAGATTTTTCTCTGTATAGCCGCGGTCATGTTTCCGCCGGTAAAGGTCGTGTAGGAAAGCACCGCAAGCATCCAGGTGGTCGTGGTCTTGCTGGTGGTCAACATCACCACCGAACCAACATGGATAAGTACCATCCAGGTTACTTCGGAAAGGTCGGTATGCGATACTTTCACAAGCAAGGCAACCACTTCTGGAAGCCAGTTGTCAACCTTGACAAGGTACGTTTAGTCCCTGGATAATATTCTGGACATTGGGGGATCGAGTGGAAATCGGAGATGGAATCTGGCGTTAGAAGAAATTTGCTAATTCTCTTCTTCAGCTTTGGTCCCTCGTCCCAGCCGAGAAGCGTGATGAATATCTTTCCGGCTCCAAGACAGACACCGTCCCCGTCTTAGATCTCCTCCCACTCGGCTACTCAAAAGTTCTCGGCAAGGGTAGAATCCCAGAAATTCCATTGGTTGTGCGCGCAAGATGGTTCAGCAAGGAGGCAGAGAGAAAGATTACTGAGGCAGGTGGTGTTGTTGAATTGGTTGCATAAATGGGAAATTTCATAGCGAATGGATTATAGGCTTTTCTCATATACCAAGAATGGCTCTACAACGGCTATGGGAGTTCTTTATCGAAATGAAAGGAAATGAAACCATTTATTCGTTGTCTGTGAATTCAATTTCATTATGAGTACTATGTAATAGTATCTCAGGCGCTGGCATATAAGATCTTAACAACCACACAATACTAATATACACAATGAATGTTTCTACCACACTCTTTACCATACGTCACATAACGCCAAAAGCGCCAATACACCATTCATTAAGCTTGAATCATACTTAATTCATCCTCATCATAATCTTCGTCCTTGAATTCATGTCGTGTTTCTTCCAAAAGGAATGGGTGATTTAAAGCGTCTTCCGCGCTGATACGCTTGTGTGGATTGAGCTCCAAACAGCGCTCCAAGAACTCCACAGCTAACTTCTCCTCCTTAGTCAATGGCTGCTCCGCCCCGTCTGGCCCTGCATCATTCCTACATGTTGACCATAAAATAATCTTCTCGAGTGCGAATCCAGCCTGACCAATAGTAGGAATGTTTGTCTCGAATATCGTTCCATGTAGATGCGCGCAACTTTTCATTCTCTTGGCCCCGAATATGGTAGCAATCTCAATCATGGCCTCGACATCGTCCGCTGAATTGAAGAACGGGAAGCGTTTTGAAAGTATCGTCAAAAGTATGACCCCAGCAGACCAAATGTCGATTTTCGTTCTTTGCTCTTGACACTTAAAAAGCACTTCAGGAGCTCGAAATCCACGGGTCCCAGCACGATTCGCCCGCCTTGATGGTCGACTGTCATGTTTTGGATAGCCGACTGATGGCAAATTTTGAATGGCCGCGCTATGCTCCAACTTCCTCTTGCGTACGTCATAGTCTCTTGTACACAAACATGATTGGCAATCCGCTTCTTCTCGTTCTGCCAAACCAAAGTCCACAAGTACACCCCTTTTTCTATCCGGTTCGTAAAGGAAATTCGTTGGTTTGATATCTCGATGAAGAATGCCCTGAGCATGAACCGCTTTTAAAGCGGTGAAGAGTGACCGGAAGTATACCTGCATTTCTGAGACCTTCATCTTCCTAAAATATTCCCTGAAATCCGTATGCCTGAAGTATGGTAAGACAGCAACGACTTGATCTGTATGCCTGAAAGCTGTAATGAGCGGACATACAGAATCGCAGCCTCGAAGATCGTTGAGAAGTTCGAGCTCGTTGAGGATCCGGGTTGGACTGCTGGTGACATAAATCTTCTTTATAGCAACATATTTCCGCCTACGGCGCTGTTGATTGTATTCGTCTAGAACTTCTCGAATTCCACCCGTTCTCTTCTTCACAGGTGGTGACGTCCATGTTGAATGCTCTCTCTCTTCAATATCCCAATCATTATCGTAATGTTCATATAAGAGATCCTCTGCTTTGTAAACTGTAGAAAATGTCCCTGGTTCACATTAATGAGTGTATCATGATATAAAAGGGTGCTTTTATTACCTTCTCCAATGCGATTTATCAGCCGAAATCGGTCCTTTATACCCTTGAAAGTTGCTTCGAATTTCGCCATGTCCTCTGCAGTAGCAGCATCAACAACATCATCACTTTCTTCGGATTCATCCGAATACCCTTCATCTTGCACATCATCATCCTCGGCTCTGGATTCCTCATTCTCGGTACCCTCTTCCTCCATTGACTCTTCCTGTTTTATTCCGTCGTCGTGAATCTGGAAAGTGTTTTTGGCATTTCCCTGGCGCTGACGGGCTGTCGCCATTGTGTTGTATCGGAAAGGCTGAATAGGATTGTCAGTAGATGTGATTCTTATAAATAAATCACTGAATCAAAGTTGAAATCTCAATTGGATTCGCTCAATCCAATATAGTAAGTAATCTAGTGTTTGCGGTCTGTGATTTTTGGCGGGGTCTATTATTGACGCGGTCAAATCGCGGTGCAGAATCTAGGCGCTAGTCTGCAAACAGTAGAAAGTCAATAAACAACCCCAGCAATTATTTGAGTATTCGATATCACAAACTTCACTCGGACAAACAAATACAAACAACAACTATCTACTTAATATTCTCGGTTTATGTATTTGACTGCGACAATACTCTGGATTGGTCGCCATTACCGACAATATGGATACGATAGATTTTGACATCAATGATGCTCTTAAGCATTATATGAGCGACCCCGCGACTGTTGCGACACCAGAGGCAGATTCCAACCTTGTCGATTGCGAAAATGACCCCGAATCACTCACAAACGCCCTTGTCAACAGCGTATTGAATCCTATCATAGATTCAGTTGCAGAGAATCCAGATGCTATAACTAGAAGTTCCTCATTTGATTCCTTGCAATTTTTGCTAAAGTGTGTACCAATTTGTTCTCAATCTACTCAAAATTACCCCACCGAACCAGATTCTGAACTCTTCAAACTTTCTAGATCCTCTTCCGCCCTACCTACACATGCTCTAAGCAAGATATTTGATCTTATAATCTCCGGACTTTCTGCCGAAGCAGATATCATCCATAACGACCTCGAAACGGACGAACAAGAATTAGTAGCTCATCATAAACAACTATTAGAGATCTTTGGATTCCTGTTACAATGGACAATCGCAGCAGTAGAAACCAAGGCTGCCGAGAAGTCGACATCTGCCCCGGCAGCTCGTGGAAGAGGCAAAACCTCGAAGACCAAAACAAGTGTGAAAAATGAGAATTGGGACTCATCTGCCCAATTACAAACAGCACTTGACACTATGTGCAAGGTTTTGAAATTAAAACTTTCAAAAATATTTCTAACAACATCTGAGAGGGATACATTTATAAGCCTATTTACCAGACCTGTGTATATGGTACTAGAAAGCGAGCAAAGAGTAAAGAATACACCTATCCGGATGCATGCATTTAAAGTGCTTTGCATCGCTGTAAAGCACCACGGCCACGGTTATGGTAGGCTATCTTCTAGCTATTTAAAGTGGCACTGAACTGACAATAAAATAGCTGCACAAATATCCATTGTCCAAAATTTGACATATTTCGAACACTTGGCCGAGCCTATGGCCGAGTTTTTACACATTCTTTCAGAACAATATGATTATCCTCAATTATCGGACGAAATCATTCGAGAGCTTAGTAATAAAGAATTTAATAGCAATGATACCAAAGGACCAAAGTCAGTATCGTCGTTTATTGTCAAGCTCTCAGAGCTTGCTCCTAGGCTTGTCATCAAGCAAATGACTATGCTGGCAAAACAACTGGATAGCGAGAACTACGCAGTACGATGTGCTCTTATCGAAATTTGTGGAAATCTCGTTGCAGACTTGAGTAAACAAGAAGAACGTGGCGACAACCATAAATCGCAACTTAATGCATTTTTCGACGTCTTGGAAGAACGATTCTTGGATATCAACCCATACTGTAGATGTCGAACAATCCAAGTATACATCAAGCTCTGTGAACTCGAACAAAAGTTTCCAAAGCGTCGACAGAGAGCCGCAGAACTGGCAGCACGAAGTTTGGAGGATAAGAGCAGCAACGTCCGCCGAAATGCAGTCAAACTTTTGGGAACCTTGATCAAAACTCATCCATTTAGTCTCATGCACGGATCACAGTTAAATTTCAAAGAGTGGAATTCTCGATTGGAAGCCGTTGACGCCGAACTAAATGCACTTAAGCCCCCAGCAGAGGCGGCTGGTTTAGCTGATACTACCAGGGTGGAAGCTGATACACAACTATTAGACGATGCTACAGTTCTAGAATCGGATTCTCCGAAGAAGGCTCAAGCACCTATGAGCGACGAAGAAAAGATAGCCACAATTAAGAAAGCACAAGAAGAAGCTGCTACCTCAGAGGCAATCAATAAGTTGACTTTGACCAGGCGATACTATGTTGAAGCCCTTAAATTCATCGAAGTTTTGCATGGAGCTACGACCATCATATGCCAACTTCTTGGATCGAAGAATAAGAGCGAAGTTATTGAGGCCATGGATTATTTCGAAATTGGCGATGCTTACAACATCGAACAAAACAAACTTGGCATTAGAAGAATGTTACGTCTCATCTGGACGAAGGGCAATAGTGATGAAGGAAAGGGTGTTCAGAATCATCTTATTGATTGCTACAAGCGTCTGTTTTTTGAAGCCCCTGATACATACAGTGAAAATGACGCCGCAAACTATATTGCACGCAACATGATCAGTTTAACATTTGGAGCAACACCAGCTGAATTGACTTCTTTGGAACAACTATTAAGTACTATGATGAAGGCGAATCATATCTCGGATCTCGTCATCTCAAAGCTCTGGCAAGTCTATGGGGTCCAAAAGAGAGAAATTTCAAAAAGTCAGAGGCGAGGCTCAATCATTGTTTTAGGTATGCTTGCCACTGCAAGACCTGAAATTGTGGTTGGAGAAATGGAGACTATGTTAAGAATCGGTTTGGGTAGTCTTGGAAGATCAGATTTACAGTTGGCCAAATACACCTGCCTCGCGCTTAGACGAATTAATCCTACCGGAAGACAAGCAACAGTGCAAACTTCAAAGCTTAGCAATGACCATGCCGTTCTCGGAAAGCTAGCCGCTATAATAGAAGTGGAGTCGGATAATAAGGAGTGGTATGGAGTCGCTGAACAAGCGATTAGTGCTATCTACGCCCTTTCAAAACATCCAGACAATCTTTGCTCAGAGATTCTTCGAAGGAAGACGAAACATGTATTCCAGCGACGAGCCACGACACCGCATCAACCAAAATTGGATGAAGACAATGATACAGATATGATGGACGTAGATATGATGGATGTGGATACTGAAGAAAAAGCACCGGAAGAAGCGCAACCAACAGAGACCGAAACGCCGGCGCCACCAGAGAGCAAGCAAAAAGGCTCTCTTGCTTTATCGCAACTTCTCTTTATAGTGGGTCATGTCGCCATCAAGCAGATTGTGCATTTAGAGCTGTGCGAAATGGACTTTAAGAGGCGGAAGGCAGACGCTGAAAAGAATAAGGCAGCGGAAACACCAGACGATAAAGCTGCAAAGGAAGCTGCTGATGACTTAGATATGATAGGAGGAACGACGGAAGATGACTTTACTGATGCCATGTCGCATATCAGAGAACGTGAGCTGTTATACGGACAGAATTCCCTACTGGCTAACTTTGGTCCACTTGTGGCTGAAATTTGTTCAAATAATACAACATACAAGGATCGCAATCTTCAAGCAGCTGCCACCCAATGCTTGGCAAAGCTTATGTGCGTCAGTTCTGAGTACTGCGAAACGAATCTTCCTCTTCTCATCACTATTATGGAGCGATCAAAGGATCCAATCATTCGTTCGAATGTTGTCATCGCCCTTGGCGATATGGCCGTCTGTTTCAATCATCTTATCGATGAGAACACGGATTTCCTTTACAGAAGACTGAACGACAAGGATGCTAGTGTGAAGAGGACTTGTTTGATGACTCTCACTTTCCTCATTCTTGCTGGTCAAGTGAAGGTTAAGGGTCAATTAGGAGAGATGGCTAAGTGTCTCGAAGACGATGACAAACGTATCGCGGATTTGAGCAGAATGTTCTTTACTGAATTGAGCACTAAGGATAATGCTGTTTACAATCACTTTGTTGATATGTTCAGTTTGTTGAGTGCCGAGAAGGAACTTGAAGAGGATGCTCTCAGGAGAATTATTAAATTCTTGGCTGGCTTTATTGAAAAGGTATGTTTTCCACTTTTTTGTAATCTCCTTTCAAAGGGAAATACTGACATGATATATAGGATAAGCATGCTCGTCAACTTGCCGATAAATTGGCAGCTCGTTTAGCCAGATGCGAGAGTGAGAGACAATGGAATGATGTAGCGTATGCTTTAAGCTTGTTACAACATAAGAATGAAGAAATTACCAAGTTGGTACAAGGAGGGTTTAGGGTTGTGCAGGCTAGTGCTTGAATGATGTAAAATGTTTCTGTTCGTCATGTCATAGGATTAGGGTTTTTGGTACCGGAAGGTTGATGATAATGATGATTATGGCGTTTGGATACGATCGTTCTAGCAATGATGACGGGTGTTCGGTTGGTTGGTCGGCTTATGTATTCATGTATTAATGATCTTGACGAATATGAGATTTTTACATATCTAAAGATTATCCCCATGTAAATGCAAGTTACATTTAAGTATAGATCAGAAAATGAGCTCCATCTCTATACTCATACTGATCCATAAGATCATTATATACATACAAAGCGTGTATATTATCTGAAATTTAAACAAATGGAGAATAAGACGAATCAAGAAGTAGCACCTACTAGGTAAGATTACATAACTCCTAGACTTTCAAAAACAACCCAGACTCAGATATATATATATATGATGGATAAATAATACCTGGGATGGTAAATTAAATGAACTAGCTAAGTAGTTACCTCTTATATAAACTTGTTGTAGTTAAGTAAGGTTGTTTATAGATAGGTATTTATATTTATTTATTAAATTGGTGGTTAAGAGGTAGAATTAATCTCAGGATTTATTAATTGATTAAATGGTTAGTTTTTTTGAATTAATTAGTTTTATTTCTATATTGTGGGAAAATAGATGGGGATTTTGGTTGGTAGATTATAGATGACCGGATTATTGGATTAATGGAGGTGCGATGGTTTTTTTTTGGTGGGAGGGGAAAGAGGTGAGAAGGATAGTGGGAACATGAAGGGGAGGAGGGGAGGGGAAGAAGAGAGGGGGTTGGGGAAGGGGGGAAAGGGTGAAAGGGGGTTGGAGGGATGTGTGTATATGTAGTGTCCGGGGGTATAGAGGATAAATAGTATAAAATAGTAGATATATAATACTGGTGGCATGTCTGTCCATTCTAAATGACTTACTACTTTTGAGGTGCGGTGATAAGATGAGTGGATAGTTGTTCAGGATGTGTTTTGAATATTAGACAGATAGATGAGCAGAGGAGTATCGTCTTAAGATGTTCTTGTACTTTGAGTGTTGTAGAATGGAGAGTGGTAAATTAGTTCTCCGGATTGAAAAAAGATAGGAATGCATTTTGAAAAGGGTGAGTGAAGATATCTTTTTTTTTCCCGGGCTGATTCTGTGGCCCCGAAATAGCTGTATGGTAGTTTCCTTTCCCCCTATGTTCCATTTGATCATGCGTCTATCCGGAAGTAGACCGTGTCTAAACTGTCTAATTTTAACCCAATCTAAAGTCTTTTTCTATGCTTC